TTGGGTCATCACGATAAGAAAGTCCGACCACCACCTCAAGGTAGCAGCTACGGTCATATATCCTGGGACAGCCGAGTAAGCAATGCTGTCGTTATGAAATGAGTACTAGGTAGGGATAGCAAATCATTAGATGAAACTTCATCAGTTGAGGTGGTTGAGACATGTATTACGTATGCCGAACCACCGACTGCCTCGATGAGCTATGTTTTGTGGTGTAGCAGTAGGTTGGAACAAAGCTAGGGACGGCCAAACCAAAACATGGCACAAATCCATGAAGTCACTGATAACTGAACTCAGCCATGTTGGTAGATATAGGCTACCTGGTTGGGGTCCGCGAGACGTAAGTCACCAATGGTTAGAGACCTTGAACAACATGGCTCAAAATCGTTTGCAATAGCGCAAGAGCATCCACTCTTTGTGTTCTCTCTAATTCTAACCTGATTTCATTATCATCTCTATATTTCTCTTTCTCAATTCATCGCACTGAATTATACTTTTCGAATCATATCTTCGCGCCCTAATCTTATCCATTACTGCTAATACTTTTATTATTGCTATCACTTTTGGATTTGAACTGACAGTTGTGTCTCTGTGTGGTATGGCAACCTGAACTGATGTACGTACGTACGTACGAAGTTCTTCGTTGTATCTGTTTGTCTGTATGACAATACAAAACCCAAAGCTCTACATAATTATTTATTAATATCTAAGGCTTAGCAACATATTTCTAATTCATTCTAACTAAATTAAGTTGAAATGAGTAAACTACAAATGACCGTACAACATACAGTATTTATAAACATCGATTTACAAATATACACTTTATTGATCTTACAGATATGGTTTTTTTTTTCAATGTTTAAGATGCATGCACTTTATTCAGTGCTTATATTTAAATTTACTTCCTACGCACCTGTAGTACATTTTTACTCACTTAAAAGTTTGTATCATATCTTGAGTTATATGAATTTAAATGTTTTGACAAATATGCAATTGAATTTCTGCTGTTATTACTTCCACTCTACAGAAGATAATAAATAAAAATAATGTTTTTATCAATGAATAATAATTCAATCCTATTTTCAGTAACTACTATACATTTCTGGCACGATATTTCAAATTTCAATAACAACAGATGTATAATAATAACTGAACACGAAGGGATAATAGTAACATAATATGATCACAAGAATTGATTCGTGTCAGTAAACTGGTCAATATCTTCATTGAAAGTCAACATTATGGTTGCATGTACGCAGAATATTGTACTCAGTATGAACATTCGGAAATACATTGTGATTAGAACAATTGAGTCATGATAAATGCCAACTTTTTCATGATAAACTAACTCTGATGGTAAAACCTTCAGTGGTGCTTAAGTATCTGTTTCTTCCTAATCTAGATCCATCAGTACGGTACACTTAGGATTCATGTGGTCTTTTGATTTTACACTTTTCTAACTAATAATCAGTTTTCTCGATTGAAATTCTATTATTCAATGTTTTATAAATTCAACCAATTTAGCTGAATTCCAGTGATTGGGAATGTTGATTTATGGAGCTAAATGAGTGAAGAGAATAAAGATGTACTGTTTGCCATTAATAATTTCATCCAAAATAAACTGATTGAAATGTATACTCCCAAGTGAGAATGTCAAAGATTTGAACTCTTTGGAATACATGAAAAGTCAAGTTTTTTTCGTTCCTCATATCATGGAATATTTCTTCTTGTGGGACCTGGAAATATAAACTAATCTAGTAGTAGTGTAGTGAAGGAGAACATAGGTGGGGGCAACCGAATTGTATTCATCGCAAATTACAGAGTTAATTGGCAAAATAGCAAAACCATATCGTAAATCGTTAATTTGCAAGATATCAATCCAATCGAACTGAACTGTTCCTGTTGCAAAACATCAATCCATTGTCTGACATTTCACTGTTCATGCGTTTCATACAAATCCCATTGTGTTCCCACTCTTCCTTTCTTGATCTTCCCCCATCTTCTGCTGCCAGACATTACGTTTTTACTCGCGTCATATACTACTTATAAGTAGCGCGCACCACAGTAGTAGTGATCTTGAAAACCTAGTAAGTATGTTCTCAAAGCTAAAGGAACAAGTACTTGAGGTCGGTGGTCCACGGTCTTTTTAAGAGTCGTTTTAAATGTTTTAGCACCGTGCTATTCAAATCTTACTGATAGGAATCAGTGGAGTAGTGAGAGGTGTACTATTTACGTGACAGAACTTTTCTAACTCACATTTTCATCGTGTTAAGATGTTGTGAGTGGAAACATTGGTTGCCTATTGAAAATATATTACTTCCATTACATTTCAGTGGAGGTGAAAGTACATCTCCATCCGTGGGTCATGGATTATTTTTCTGTACGTTCCAATGATTATTGTGTGGCTACCATATAGACGAACAGATTGATAGTAGGCATTCGAAAGAAACAATCTGCATTCCATATCTTCTAATATGAAGTCTAATTTCCTTGAACATACAGAACACAATTTACTGACGAAAACCAAGTACATACAGAAAACGTGCTATGCAACATTCTAAAAACTGAGTCAACTATCATTAAAAGTATTCAGAATAAAATTCAAACAATTGTATGTACTTTAAACAGGCCAGAATCCATTGTTGATCTGTTCCTAAATCCCATAAAGGCTTCCACTTTATCTGATATGGACTGGTGAGTTGCTTGTATTATTTTCCACCTATAAACTGGAACAGTCATATTTTAATATATGAATTTCAGTTGGATTAAACGTAACGAGAAAAATATATATATACGTACAACTTTCTAGGCCAACTAACTGACTAATCAAAGTACAATGTATTTTTTTTTTAACACATAAACTGTACTTTTTGAAATGAAGCAAAACTAGGCAGATTCATTGAATATCAATAAACAATATAATGAGTCATATGTGTATGGAAAATTAATTCCAGTGTATGCAGTTGTATGTTTGATAGATAAAGAAAGAACAAATATATGGAAAACATCTTGAACGAATTGAATAGAGGATAATGAGAAAGACTAGTAAAGAAATTAGGGTGAGTTTTATCAATGAAAATTAATTTTTAATTTTGATCTTACTCTTCTGATGATCACCGTAAAAATATAAATAAGCAATTTGAAATAGACAAAAAAGCCTAGTACTCATAAGTAGTAATGTGGTGCGAGCTACTTATAAGTAGTATATGACGTGAGTGTCAACGTAATGTCTGGCAGCCGAAGATAGGGAAAGATCAAGAAAGGAAGAGTTAGAAAACAATGGAATTTGTATGAAACGCATGAATAGTAGTGACAATGGATTGATGTTCTGCAACAGGAACAGTCCAGTTCGATATGATGAACTGATATTTTGCAACTGAACGATTTACGATATGGTTTTCCGATTTCACTGAGTAACTCTGTAAGTTTCGTTAAATACAATTCGGTTGCCCTCACCTGTGTTCTCGTTCAATACAGTAAGACTTTTTGTTTTGGATCGTCTGATGCTAGATGTTCAGGAAGCAGTCGGTAATAGACTCTAGACTCCACGAACTGGTCAGCGAGGTTTATCTGGAATCTGTGGGGGATCGGGATATTATTAGTCAGGAATGCTAACTATCTAACGATTCAAGCTAACCAGTGCTAAATATCATAATACTTGTGTTCATTGTTTCTTGTATTTGATTTACATCAATCTGATATCAATAAAAATGTAGCAAGTCACTTAGACGGGTGGTTACACTGCAACTTGGTCGGTAAGATTTGATTAGTACCCATTTTTTTCCTAGTTTTCTTAGTTTAAATCATGAAATGATCTTATCTAGATCATCATTAGGAACCAGGAAACACTAGACAGTTGTCTAGGTCCCTTCAGTAGCTAACATCGATGACCCCGCAACAGATGTATGCATAGAATATTATATAAATAGATTTTTATAGAAAAATTAAATAGAAAATACCGCGAACTCTTAAGAAAATGATTGTTTAATTTTATTCCTATCCTTCACAATTCCAAGTAATTCCTGCTTTAAAGCTTATGATCATCATCTGTTTATATTAAATATTATCATCTATTGAAATAAGTAAATGAACTAACTAAATAAATATAGAATCTAGTAGATTGGTAATTCAGTTGTAAATTCACAACTCAACGAACAGGATAAGCAACCAATAAAAGTATGCATCAAAAACAGACGACCCAAATAAAGATGCAATCCAACCAATGTGTAACGATAAGTCGTGTGGAAGCTGATCATGCTGGATGATTGCCTAAGCCTTTATAATTGTAGAGAGACTTAAACTTGTGATTCATAGATTAAAGGTTAAATGTTTGAGCTAAAGAGAAAACATTCTGCACAGTAGTTATTTAGTGCTCAGTGTGTGAATCGATACCATCAGTAACAACCTACTGTGGCAGAGAACAAACCAGCTCTTAGATGGGGAGAAAACACTAGAGATGGATAGGATATACAATGAAACTAGTGTAGTTTATACTCATTTTCTGTTGAGTAGTTGCAAGTAAATAGCAGGGAATTCTGGCACTTGTCAGAAAAGTGTATCTGCGATTCTGAGTGAACTGATGTGCTACACCTGTAGGATTAGAACACACGTTACTTAGTTTTGCACTTTAAGAAATCATTACTAAGCTTTTCGGGTCGCCACTGACTATTGGTATGGTTGAAGTATTGGATCACTGAGTAGAGACCAGTGTCGTGTCGCTTAGTCCTGTAACCACATTATAACTTGGTCTAAAAAATTCAATAAGCACTAAAAAACTAGATAATCATGATGCTGACCGCTTGATTGTACATCTGTTATCTCCCATTAGGACAGACAAGACAAAAATCAGTGATACCTCATCAATTTTTCGACTCCTTCTTTTGAAAAGTATTACTCCAATCAGTATTTCACTTTATGCATACGATGCATAATCTTCCTCAACATAGCCACTGAACATGCACAACGCTACCCACATATAGAGGGAAAATTAGACGAATCATAGTAAAATAGGATTTATTTCATATCGGATTAACTGAGTTTAACATATTTTAAAGTCACATTTAAATGTTCTGGATTCAAAGTAAAATGTCATCAGAACAATATTGTGCTTAAAATGGTTGCAAAATTGACATCAGCAGGGTTATCTACTGTTTTTCACATTACAGATAAATAATTAGAAGGTAAAATAGTGACAAGTATTTACACAAGACTTTATGATGAAGACAATTTCTGATGACTGTACATTTAATACTAGTAAAAAAACAAAGATGGAGAAGAATTCGATAGAATAATTCTTTCATAACTACAATCTAATGAGCTTAAGCGAATAAATCAATACTAGGCTCATCATCATTTCGTTCATTACTGTCAGTATTATTAATATCATCAGTCTTTTTAGACATATATTTTTCTTGAACCATACCTATCCAATCAGGTGCCAGTTCAACGCCAGAAGCCGAATGTAATAAACTTTGAAGACTATGCTGTTCACTTGGTCCAAACACATAACCATTAGCACGATCCACATAACGCATAACACGTTCTATATGTGAAAGATCTTGTATGTCCAATAGTAAAAATTGAACAATTGAACGATCTTGTATTAAATCAATGATAGCTTGATTTAAACGTGTATATTTACAATTGAATAACAACTGGTCATTATTATTATTATTATCACTAATACCATCATTATTTGTTTTGTGTAAACGATCAATTAAATATTGTAGATCTAATACTTCCGTAAAAAAGTCTAAATTAAAATCTAATTCACCATATTGTTCAATTAAATCCGCTTTACTTAATATATTTACATGTGGTATAGATAATTGTAGCATAGCTGATAGAGAAGTTAATACACATGCGATAAATTTTCCAGCATCTGAACAATAATGTGAATCAACTAAATGTACTGAAGTTAAATGTAAATCAAGAGAGTTGGGTAATTCATTTTTAGGTAATAATAATGATGATGGCGATGATGATTGTATTGAAGAGGGTAATGATAATTGTTTATTAGTGCTGATTTTCAAATTGGTTGGTTTATTTGTAAGATAACAGATAAGTTGACGCATACAAGGATGATGTGTGTACAATTCAACCTTGGGGAAAAAGAGAAAAATAGTACAATTAATAATCAATAAGAAAATAATATTGTTTGATTTCCAGTGTTCAACTGATTCTATCGATTGGTTTTACAATCTAACAAAATTGATGTAAGTCTGTTATTGTTTAAGTAGCCGTCAACAAACAATCAAGGAATAATTCAACTTACCTTCCTATATATTTTAAGGTTTACCATTAAAATTTGGTGGCAACTGAAAGGTAGGTAATATGGTCACAGTAATTATTACTCAGGGAAAAATTTGGCTCTGTACGAAATTGATTACGGCATAGATAGGCGGTAATGTGTATAGTTGCTTTAGGTGATCATCACGTTTCTTCAGAGTTGTAATAATAACACACATCTCTTATCAAAAATATTAAGCTATTCAGAAGACAGATACTGATTAAGGGACTATGTTAAGTTTAGCAAACTTAATACAATATACAGTTAATTGAATGCCATACATATTGTTCTGAATAGCCAAGTTGTATGACAGATATTCATCCTACATTGTAACAATCTATCGGTCTATACATGATAATAGAATTAAATGTGAACTCTGAGATGACTATCTTCAGACTTGACACAATAATAGATCAGAGTTTTTATCTAGAACGAAGTTGGTTGCAAAATGACCGTCATTATGGATTCATCTAGTAGGATTAACATGAACTATACAATGATTAAATGGGAACAACAGATCTAACCAGTTTATTTAAGGAGAAATAATAGAAGCAAATTACAAACTATGTCGAAGAATGTAAGTATTGAGTTTCTGAACTAATAAGGTATGATTCTATTCTCTCTCATAGTTCTGATGTACAAAGTACGGTTTTTCAATTCTTAATTTTTTCCAAAACTATTAATCAGGTCGATATGCTCATAAGGATAATTAAGGATACTTACACAATTACCGAACATTTATCTAAAAACTCTTCCTACTATTTAGATGTAAAGCCAAGTCCTCTTTGTTAATATACGATTAGAATATATCGTTTGTCTATTCAAACATTTTTAAAAACGTAACCAGGAAAGAAACATTAAGACATTCAATGTTTCATATGTAAAAGAGTCTTGTAATGCATGTTTTTGATGATGTAGTTTTTCCAAGCCAAATGATTTTGATCTTAAATGTTCTTCTAAAAAGGATCATCAACACAAACCGTTTTTCATTGCTTCGCCATTTTTTTCGTTGAGGCGACATGTTGAAATTGAGATTGGGAATGATTGTATGGATCCATTTATTATTAATCATCTTATTCTTCCCAGTCTTTGTTTCAACCATTATGATTTATACACAATAGGGCGTACTCAACTCTAATAAGTTGTTACTTCCCATCAATAACAAATTGGCTATTTTAGAGCCCAACTTATCATTCTTTAGCTGGATGACTTTCAATAGTCTAACCAATATACATTTTCTTATTTTTATTTTTTTTATCCAATCAAAGTATTCTTACCATTATTAGGTGCCCACATTTATGGCCAGACATTCTAGGAAGATTTTTAGCGATTATAACTCGGGCTTTGCGAACTATAGAGAAGAGAGAAGTGAGAATCAGTATGTCAATGATGATTCATAGATGAGTCATAAAACACACCTGCCGGTTAAATGTTGAAAATGTCTGACCAAGTGTGTCACGTGACTTCCCAGGTGTCTGAAAACTAGGTTAGTCATCCGTGCATAAACACACATACAATGGTAAAGTATATGACCTTGAAAGATGATGATAAAGGCCGGAAACAATTGTTTTTTTGCTTCAGTGGTTGTTTTTGTTTCAAATATGCGCATCTGACTGAATTAAAGGCCTAGATTTCGACACTAGTGTAATATCAAGTGAAGGAAATAACGATTAACTGACAGGTAAAAAAATGCTTCCTTTCCACTCACGTACAATATTGAGATAGTTGGTTGTAGGGAAAAAAATGCTAATAATTTAAGCAAACCAAATAGGCATTATTATCAGCTAATATTACACCACAAAGATTCAACCTTGGATTGACGGTAGGGGCATATATTAGGGATACACTACTGATGGATAATGCTGACTAGAGGAGAAGTAATTTGGAAGAATACTACAAGCGGCCAAATCAAAACATGACAACAGTTCCTTAAGATATAAACAGTCGAACCAAGTTATATTGATAGGTGCAGATATCCTGATAATTTACTTTAATTAAGGTGCGCGCAAAAGGACGAATGAAAAAAGTACAATCAAAAAAGGGTAAATATCAATAAAAGCGATCAAATGAAAATTAAATAGCTGTTCATTTTGAAATGGCTTATAATTAGGTACTGAATATAAATCCGAGTAACAGAAAATATAACTATAACTAAACTAAATTACAACCAATCAATTGTAACGAGAGTGATTACACGTATGGAAAAGTGTACTTATTTGTTTTAAAATAAGTTTGGTAATAATTCAAAATGATACAATTATGTACAAAGGTAATGAACAAAACTCCAGGTTATATTTTTTTATACTTCATAGAATACATTGAAGTAACAAGTGTGTTAAGTTTTTATAGTGAATGCCTACACTTTCAAGAAACAGAAATTAAATCAATTAAGGACAAAAACATTTAGAGATGTGTGGAATATTGTACAATGGAGCATAGGTCACGCTATTGTATGAGGCATACAGTTATTGAAAATAACTCATAGAACGTAGTCCTCTTATTCCAGATAAAGCTTTAAGTAGGTGCGAAAAAATTAATCAGCAAAATGAAAGATCAAACAACTTTATTAACGGAAGAAACATCAAATCGTAACTGCGATATCTGTTGGTTTAGCCCATACAGTGTCAGTTTAGCTTTCAGCTATGATCCGGATGAAACAAATAATTAGGCGCATTCGATATGACCATCAGGCGCTCTCACTAAATCCGTCTTCAATGAATTCATCAAATCTATCGTCTGAATATAAGACTACTGTGAGAGGAGAGAATTTTTTTCACGTGATGGCAAAGTGAAAAACAAATTTCGACTTTTTCTTACAACTCAGAATCTAGAATCGTTAGTGTCCTCATTCGCATGTAGATGGAACACACGTTCAGGACGTCAAACACCTTCATTTACTCAAATCTATATAATTCATGCTATGGAATTTAATAGGATTATTCCATATGTTGACATTCTAAGTTAAAACAAAAAGTACGAATTCTTATGTGCACACCTTCGATAAATTGAATGAACTGCACTCTATTTCATATTCATTATCATGACCAATTATGAACATTTCAACATATCAGTATTTTGACAAATACATCTGAATGTAGTAGTACAACAAGTTTGCTATATCTAAGTCAATTTATGTAGGAAAGACTACAAAAATCAGTAAACTTTCATCAACTAATAAAAGTTTTCCTATGCAAATCCTTTAGTTAATAAACAACTTTTGTATTAAGTGCAAATTGTCGAGATTGCATTTGACATTGAAATGTAGTAATCATTCTGTGGAGACAATGAAGAAGTCAAAGTATTCATAAGTTTTTGTGAAGGCATCTGAACCAGGTAACCAACCAACCAGATTTGGAGGCATCAGAGATTCAGTTTTTCATATTGTAATATGGAGTGTCCACAGTAACGATAGTAGATAGCCTTTAACTAATTTATTGACGCAGCTCATTTGAATTTATGAAAATTCATCGGTGTTCTGAAAAAAGAACTGTGCCTGAATGAATTAAAAATCAGAAATTTCGTTGGAAGGACCCAGTAATTGCACATCAAAAGAAGGTAGGAGGTTGTAGCGTGTATCAAACTGATTGCCGAAGACTATAGAAACTTGACTATTCACGCAGTAGTATAGTTAGACACATTAGAATTGTATATTTATTTTAGAATATAGATAACATATACAGCTACAATACATTAGTAAATCGCCCTTTAGATGTTCAATTTTGATTGATCATATTTAATTAGTCAATAAACTAGCATTAATATTTTATTATATTATTAAATCATGGCTTTTGCGTATAAATTTTTGAAATCAGAACCAAGACAAAACAACACTGAATGCTGATTATTGACGAATTAATGCACATAAAAATCTGTAGTAAAAAACTTCACTACATAATCTACATTTATGTCAAACATCACAACAGGGAGCTTACCTGACCCGGTAAATCAAATATCAAATAAATTTTCGGATCCTTTTGTTTCAATAATGCTAGTTGATCTGCTAGCCAGCATCGATTAGTATATAAATATTCCATACAATAGATAAGCCCACCATTTGGACCTAAACCAAGATAGTCCATAACCTCGTCGAGACGAATTAAATCGGCTATATTAATGGCACATGGATAACGTAGGCTATCGTTGGCTGGATCCAAATTGATGACAGCAACTTTACGACCTATAAATATGATTTTTGTCAAAATGATGTAATATTTTCAGGAAAAAAAATTATTAATTGCCAAACTTCCTCCATCTTACGTCAAATTGAGAAAAAGAGAAATGAAAGTTTTCTTAATGAAAATTTAAAGACTGATGACCTAGTACTCCGTAATCTAACCTGGTATATTCATAAATCAGTTAGTTATTTTAAAAGAAATCCATGTGAATTGTTACATCATTGATGGTGTGGTTGAATAATTATTATGACACCAATTTAGGATAACTCCGCCAGTAGAACCTTAGGGGCTACTGCCGGTCCCAAGCCCGGATAAAGGAGGAGGGTTGGACATGGGGTTGGCGACCCCATTCCGTTGAAATCTCACTTGCCAAAAAAAACGCTAACCAGAAAAAATAATTTAGGATATTGAAGATTGATTGGTGGTTTAACGTACACCCGATAATTTGTTTAGTGAGATAGTAGAAGAAAGTATATGGAAAATCTTGAAGTTAATTGTTGGCGGTGGTCTACGTTACTATTCTATCTTAATGTAATTAGTGATAATTTTATTATCCTAAACCTATTACTAATAGTGTGGTGCGCGCTACTTATAAGTAGTATATGATGCGAGTAAAAACGTAATGTCTGGCAGCAGAAGATGGGGGAAGATCAAGAAAGGAAGAGCGGGAACACAATGGGATTTGTATGAACCGCATGAATAGTGACAATGGATTGATGTTTTGCAACAGGAACAGTCCAGTTCGATATGATGGATTGATGTTTTGCAAATTAACGATTTACGATATGGTTTTCCTATTTTACCAATTAAATCTGTAATTTGCGATAAATACAATTCGGTTGCCCTCACCTGTATTCTCCTTCACTACAATAGTTATCTTTGGCTTGATTTCCATTTTTTCCTTAGTTATTTTTTTACAATTCTTAGTTATTTATTTATTCACATTAAATTAGCTTTTTGTTTTGCTGTAGTCTTTCAAAGTTAAATAGTTGTTGAATAAAACCAAAGTATTTTCAAGCTAAGTACAGAGATTTACACGTTCTCATTCAGTTATGACTCTAATTAAATTGATAATGCTCATTGAAACGAAGTTCTAGTGTTATGAGGTCTATATTCTAATTTCAAAAAGTATAATGAAAATCAAAATATCTAGAATACACTTTCCATTTGAAAATGCGCCCAAAAAGCCACAGTCAATATAGTCTTACTCACTGTTTTCTTGTGTCGGGGATGCTGTTTACGAAATTGAGACGACGAAAACCGAATGTCTGGCCTGGGTTTAAACTGGGTTGGTGAGTACGGAGGACTCACCAAGACGGGTCGGAAAGCCTTCATTCCAAACCAACGTGGCACGTGGGCTCCACGATCCTGACGGGATAAATGCTGTATGTGCATATAAGACCGCATCTCCTCACATCGCTCCACTGCCTGGTTGATTAGACCTTCAGGTCAAAGGCTTGAGGAGAGGCCCCCTAAGAAAAATACCTGGTCCGGTTTAGGTGCTAGCCTACAAAAAAATTCAACAATTTGTGTGGCGTACATACATTTTGGTGCTCCTCTGTACCTATGTGCTCAAATAAATAATAAGTCGTTAATAATATATGGGACTAGAATATATATATATATTATCAGAATCAATATTAATCACTGATTCAGTGAGAAATTACTTTAGAGACTAAGATTTCAGAGGTCAGATAGCAGCATTGTTAGCCACCAATGATTGTGGTTGAAACTTAGTACATAGTAGCTGAGTGGTTTTCACTTCAAAAGAAAATATGTAGGCACAGATAAAGTATTATAGTCGGTGATATACAGTAACAACTATACTAGGACTTAACTGATATATTCGACTTTATCATCCAAGAAAGTTTTGTGAAAATTCTCGGTCTACATTGATAAAAAAAGGAGCTCACCTGATGTTTCATCTTGGTTTCCATGACAGAGATAGAAAAATTTGAACTGATATGCATTCAGGAAGTGGATAAATAGTTAGATGTTTGTAATAGAACCTAAATGTTCCTTGGCTAGAATGTGGAGCAATGGTTCAGTGGTCAAGACTGTTGACATTCAGCTACTTCGCTTTACCTACTTCATTTTGTGCAGCCAGGGATTGTCGCTAGTCCTCATACTTAATGTGTGACTTACAATCAAGTAAGCTAATCTGTACCTGGTAAATAACCTAAATCAATAAAACAATGTGCTGACTGTCGAGAGATAGGTAGTTAGTTGGCTGATGTCATTTTATAATAAAGACCTAGTTTTGATACATCTCTTAAGATAAAGTAATTTGCTATGAAATTCCGGATCGCTTTGTAGATTCTTTCAAATATATCTACATTACTTAAAAAGGGTGATCTATCGTAATGTGTTGACCTAAGCTTTCGAAATTTTTTATTGTGCGAGTATATATATACTACTTAATTTTAAGTAAAGTAAGATAATACATTATGCGAAATATACCACGGTGCTACAAGCCATGATGTCTTGAGCGGGAGCTCTGTTTGTATTTGGAACTTAAAACGTACGCAGATTGTTTCCCACACACTTATTTCAGAAAACTCGAAAATTGGAGCAGGTTTTAAGCCAGTCATTTAAGATCCAAATAATATAAGAATTGAAAGAATACTGAATTTTCTGGGCTAACAAACCAACAGTATGTTAAATAGTGCAAAAATGTTGGAAGCACTGGAGAAGGTTAGTGGTTTCCAACACAGACTAACTTCATATGGAAATCTGTTAAATACCATGAGAACATTGTAGAAATGTTTCGTCTTAATATGAGGCTACTCCTTATCAGCACGCTCTTACGACCTCCTCTACTCCAGTGTTTGGACAAAGAACTTTGATATAAATTGAGAAATAGAATATTGATTGCACAGATATGAAAGAATTACGCATATAATACTAACCTAGTTTTACAAGAAAATCATGCATTGCAGCACAGTATGTGGTCTTTCCACTACCAGGAGGTCCAATCACCAACTGTCCAAATAAATGCAAACCATCAGGGAACGGATATGGTTTACAGTCGGCTGACATCCTGATATAATCAATACTGATTGATTTCGGTCATTAGAAATATGGTAGCATCTAAAAGAACAGAAGTAAATAACTAAGTATTAATCAATTAACGAGAACTAGATAAGTTAATTTAATATGTGAGCAGTGCAACCTCATTAATGTCTGTCAGAGACCAGTTACAACAGTAAAAGGCATTGCAATTAAAACATTCACTGACCGTGCATAAATTAATACATTAAGTCGATAATTGTGCCAATTTCTAAGGGGTTAAATATGTTTATTTACAGAATGAACCAATCTGGAATAAATGTATACATACAAAAATGCTAGGGGACTTCTAGTAGCCTGGCATTCATGTCTATTGACAATAAGTACAAATGTTAATGTGCATCCAGTCTACTGGTTAATGATGATCAAGTCGATCATTTACGCGACTGTAGCTTATCTTCACAGAAAACTCACCAAAAGTCCATATGTACACTCAAAAAATCAATAGTCAGTTGAGTTATCAGAACGGATTGATTTAAGAATTATGCGGTAATTCTGTAATGCTTGACTCTATTTAAATTAGGTGTAATGATACTGTCCAGTAGGACCATGAGAGTTTCACAATCGCAACATTGAACTTTGATAATTAATGGAACATCATTGAATGTATACACTTGTACTACACTTAACTACAAATCATACTAATTGTAAATGGAGTTTTAATACCCTTTATCTACTATCTATTAGGATTTTTGTAATTAAATTGAAACACACGTACCTAAAAACAACTGAACTTCAACCTAACCCATTTTTAGTATAACTGCTAAAGACATTTCTTAAATCCATAAATTAATTCACATTTCAAGGAAATATTACAAGGATTACAATGATTATCAACTGGTTAAATTAATTATCTTTTTAAACTGACATGCAATTGAATTTCATAGTCTAATGAAGTTGACTGAGAGGGTAGTAACTATAAAATATATGGATGTAAGCAAAACAAAATAAGAACGAACCAATCCAGTTATAAAGTCAACAACGAGAGATACTAGTTGCCAGATGAATTATTCGACTATCGCCTATTTACAGCAATTTCGATTTACACATATTAACTCAACTGTGCAATGATATTTAATTATATTACTTATGAGTAGCTATTATTGAGGTGGGAAATTTCTAACCTCATTTTATTGGTTAAGTAAAATATGATTCTACATATGGAACTATCTACTATTCAATCCTTGTTTGAGTTGTCTGAACTTATCCAACCTTGGATCCATCTATTCAGATAAAACTGACAACTAAATGATGGTCAAGGGCCATGAATTTTCAAGGTGATTAATCTGTTCCAATGTTATTATTCAGATAGAAAAAAATGCATGCTATTAACTTGAAATGAGTTCACGACTGAGTATTCTACCATCACTAAATAAATTTGTTACGTTTACAATCTCAAAAGCATTGATCTAATTGTTACAAGTGACAAGTTTTTTGAAATTACTTCGTTGTCTAACCTTGCAGACTACATTTCTTAGGTATATACATTGAAACAGTAATGTTTTATATACTCAATATTTTTAGAAGGATAATTCTATGAGACAGAAAGCGGAGCTTGAATTTTTCTTAGATACTTCACTAGGAAAAACAGAATTACTACATTATGTGTTAGATAGTTAACGATCTCAGTGATTTCATACTAACTGAATCAAGTTTCATATGAATGCTGACTAACTTTGAACATATTTAATAGATGAATGGTGTATATTGCAAGGTCTCCACATTTGGAATGTACACATATCATGATTTACATTATGGGTTTACTGTTTAGACAAATGAAAGTCAAGAAGCGCTAAACAGTTATCCTTTTTTTGTATATGTGACACTTTTCAGTATCGAATGCCGCAGATTGAACACAGAAACTGTTGGTTTCTCAACATTTTTTACACAGACGAAACAGCTTTCCTGTGCAATTCGGTTTTCAGTCTTAGATATGAACTGTAAATGGACCAGTTTCAACAAACTTTTTCTATCTGCAGTATCTACATTTTTTGAATTGTAAACCTTGTGGCAATGTACTCTTTGCATACAAAACAAATAGTAATCTGTAGGAAAAGTTGGAATTAAACAGAGCCAGAAGTGCTTGCACAATTACTCCTCTACGAAACAACATACACATTTATTCAGTGATAACAAAAAACCGAAACAGTACAAATATACACATATATTTATAATCGAACAGAGCACATATTTACAAAATTACAGAATAAACATCAAGATACTATTGTTCCGCAAATGGATTAGCATGGATTGTTATATTTTGTATATGAATATCTGTTAAGGGTCTGTAAGTTTTTTCTTCAACAGGGGCACGTTCCAATTCATCCAAAACATCCCATCCATCAATAACTCTGAGAAATAAGTAAGCAAAGCAGCCATAACAATAATTATAGTAATAACAATCGGTTTAATTCCATGTAAGAGAAGAAAATTCAACGAAAGACAAAAACAGTGTCAGTCAGATGCAACGTAGAACTTTGTACATAAGTACATCAGTTCATGTTGCCATACCACATCAGCACAGAGAAGTAATCGTCAATCCAAATCCAATAGTAGAAGAGGTAGTAAGGGAATTAGAAGTAATCGGAGAGGTTAGGATTAGAAGATACTATTCAAGAAGTATGATTCAGTGAGAAAAGTTTAGAGAGTCGAAACTAGAGGGGTTGAAGAATCCAGAAGATTAGCATTTGAGAGAACACAGAGAATAAATGCACCGGCGCCATTGCGAACGATTTTGAGCCATGTCATTCAAGGTCTCTAACCATCGATTACTTTCATCTCGCGGACCCCAACCAGGTAGTCGACAATTACCGACATGGCTCAGTCCACTACCTGGTTGGTATTTAATACAAAAACAATGTATTACATACGTTGTCATTCATTTCAAGATATATTTCTGACCATAAAGGAACTTTACACAATTCACAGGTTACAGCTTTTCATTCGAAACCGATGTTTATCAAAGAATATCAGATGAAGTTTCCGCATTAGGGTGAATCGAACTTTTCTTAGTATTAATTCAATGTTTAATTTATAGTGGTGATCTTAAATCAGTGTTATAATAAACTCTGATTTCAATTAACCAAGAGCTATTGAAAATAAATCGAATTTAAATGAATAAATATTCATATTTCAAGACAATGTGAAGGTTGATGAAACTATTTAGTTAGTTACAAAATAAATTCAATAAAGAGGTGGAATTTGAACTTGTGATTTTAATGATTGGAAGCTGAGTTGTTTTGATCATTAAGTCGCCACTTATATGCAACTGATTATTTCTATCCAATAAACAAAATGACGTTAGGAATTAGTCAACTATGTAGATACTGATTTTTTTTCAGCTAAATAATCAAATGGATTTTTAACATATTTTGAGTAAAAGTGATCATCATTGTATTGATCATCAGAATATACAGAATTATCAATAAATATTACGGTTTTAATGGTTATACACACATATGTTATTGATAGTAAACTGCTTTGGTTTTGATCCCTGGATTTTTTTTATCGAAAATACATAATTAAAGGACAAAGATATGATCTTGTAATGTGCTAACAAAATGAAGTCTAAATGATAAATGTAGTAGAAGGCAGAATGAAAAATAATAATGTAGTTGGTTCAAGATACTACTACTAAAATGAATGCTTTGTTTGGTGTACCCCAGAATCTTTCGCTTCTCAGCTGTGTGCTGTTACGGGTATGAGGGCGGTTATCACTTCCCGGCTGCCCACACCGTGGAAGGGTTTCTTGAGGGACCTGAAAAGGAAGATAGATTAGTGTTGGTCTTGGAGACCTGGGTGCGTGACCGCAGAGCCCAAGGGACAACTGCTTGAGGCCGGTCACGCACGGCCTTTTTATGAAAGGTTTTCTGAGGATTAGCTCCGCTCTTAAAGGCCCTTAGTGGGCACCCTTACCGACCGAGACGGAAATCCGTGAGGTAGGGCGAGGTGTGACATTTTTAGGGTCGACCTTTTCTAACCCCTCCTTCCATGTGAGAAGGCAGCATCGCTGCAGATGCTGGTTGTCCGAGGGAAACACCTTACTGCTGCCACACCCCTCTGCAGTCAGCAGTACGACTTCGCCCTCAGACCTTGGGTAGCTGCTTTTAGTATCATCGCTCTTCAATCGACCTGCCTGGCATGGTAGAACCTTCAGGAACATATGTTCCAGCCAATATAGCTCGGTTGGGTCATCACGATAGGCAAGCCCGACCACCACGTTAAGGTAGCAGCTTCGGTCGGGGCTCTGAGCTAAGATCATGTGTATAATCTTTTACAAGCAGAAAGAAATAAACACTTCAAATCTCCTTATTAAGGATCACAATAATAATTGCAGACATGTTTGGACTGTTAGTCAGCTGAAATGTAGAACTTGATACGAATGTATTTTGATCAAGCTTGCCTAAACGTATCAAAGATAGGATTCATGAGAATCTAAATTAATGAAGTAAAAAGGGATTTTGCGGGATTCGGAAGCTAAGAATTTGAAGGAAGACAGAATGTATGCACCAGCTGTATTTCAAACGATTTCGAGCCATGTCATTTGAAGTCGCTAGCCACGGGTTACGAACTGTTAGCCTAATTATCAGAATGGATCGGCAGGATATATATCGGACTAAAGGATTTTCCGTGTAGATTTATGTTGGAGCATGCTGATTGGAAGTCTTACTCAATTAGTGCTAGCGAATAATTGGAGAAGACTAGAGAATATTATTGTGTGAAAATTATAAATATACTGACGCTTTTCTTATTGTGATTCTTTCCCATCCAATTTGGTTTATTTGGAATATGATTAAATACCTTCTCAAGACGTGTTCTGATTTTGGACACTAGTTGAGAGAAGTAAAGTGTCCAAAGAATGATAAGCAATAAGAGTATAGATGAATCGTTATGAAGAAAGATCTTAACAGAAAGATTATAGTATGATCCTTTTCAACTGATCTTTTAGCAAAATAGTTAATGAATCTAAATCAAGTTAACCATTGGGTATTGTACATTAATTGCAGTAAGATGAAAAATTGTGAAAATAGAATAAAAACAAATAAATCAAAGTTTAATAAAACCAATCGGCTTTCTCATGTTTCCAGATAGTAAGAAGAATAATGTGACCTAGTCTAAAGTTGGTCTTAGTATTTCGATTATATTCGCTTCATTTGGTACTGAATCCTATACTTTGCATGAACTTATAAAACTCTATTAGCTCATACCAACTTCTGTCTCTTGTCACATAAGAAAGATGTCCGTCAGCCAACCTAAAAGGTGAGTATTAGTTCGCTCTGCATTACAATATGGTTGTGAAACATGAATTATCAGCATCAGTGATTGCAAACGTTGTGAGATATGGCTGAAAATTGGTCACTACTTACACTTCTTTAAATCTTGAGCGTCAATGCTTTTTCAAAAATAGATTCTTTCTGAACCTAAAAATCACAGTAGTCAGCTTTTCTTCCTATTTTGTGTATTCTTACAATTATTGGTGCCTCTATAATTTCGGCTCACTCACTAATCAACCTGGTAGTTTTACCTCCTGTTGATTTGATATGGAAACTTAAGCTAGCTTATATTTTGTGACAGGCTTTACATTACGGCTGACTGACAAATCACAAACTAACCATCCCGCATAATTGTTATCTTTTTCTGACAATTTTAGTAATTTACTTCAACTCGTTTGATGAGTGGGAGTACAGGTATGGCGACATGAACTGATGTACTTACGTACGAAGTTCTACGTCGCATCTGACTGACTGACTGGGAGTACAGGTACGAATTAACAGTTAATTTCAGAACAGATACCTAAATTAAGAGGCTTTTGTATCCACACAATTTTACTAGACGAATACTAAGTCCTAAACAATAGGTTCGAAGCCTATTTTAAAATTCACTTACTTTCCGAAAACTGAGTACTTCATATCTAACATGGTTTGTTTACTGTACGTAATAAAAAACTGGGAACCATTGGAATCTGGACCATTATTAGCCATAGATATAATTCCTCGAGCGTTATGCTATTGTGAAATAGATATGATAATAATCATTGCTTTATTGCAAATTACCCTTAATGAGTCATGAAATTCATCTTTGAATCGTTTTTGCCAAATACTTTGCCCATTTTTTCCAGTTCCTAAAAAAATATGCATTGAATGAAAGTTGTATAGGTACTATTCACCTTACCAGTAGGATCCCCAGTCTGTACTATAAACCCTTTGATATTACGGTGAAATATGCAGCCTTTATAATAATCCGAAGCACATAATGCTAAAAAATTCTACAAATTAGGAAAGAGACAGACAAAAATAGAAAGCACAAGGCAGAACACATGAATATATATATATACAAATTGGAATCTTATTTTTTCTGTCGCAAAAAAAAATACAAATTAAAACTAAACATGGTAGTTTGTGTACATGTTATATAATATTGAAAAAGATTGATCAGCTAATTGTTTACAGGATTATTTACAAATTTTGATTCTGTACAATCATTCAAATTATTCAAGGCAAGAAGACCCCATTCAGAATTTTTCTTTTTATCACTTAGGATTTTCAAGTTATCTTGTAGTTGACGACATATTTGCACAAAATTTGACCATTGATTCTCATTGACATTCGACCAGATATTACATCGTGGATAGGTAGGATCTGGACAGAGTATAAAATTTCTATGAGAATCTATCATGTGATTCTCATACACATGGCAAGAATTTAATCGTGGTGTTAAACAGCCATTATTCAAATCAATGATTACGTCACATGGTTTTATGCTGCATACATAAACTAAAAAGTCATTCAGTAAATATTCTATCGATGGAAATGGATTGAGATCAGGGAAGTGAGGAGAAACAGACAAAGCGCTTGGATTTTCTAACATGCTAGCATTATCAATAAATGATTGTAGACGAATAAATGAAGGTGCATAGTTTGAAACTTGTAAGAAATTAATAAAGAGTGTAACTAGTTTGAAATTGGTAAATCCAGGAGTTGGACCTTTACGAGTTACACACCATTCACGAGCTAGATATTTTACCAGAGCTACAGATTTTGGAATTTCAGGGACACATAATGTTAGTAAATGGAGAATTTCAGCCATTTTGGTCCCATAATGTATTGGTTTCTCATTATTCATCAAAGTAGCATTTGTAAGCCATGAAATATCCAAGCCAGCTTTAAGAATATGAACTTGATCTACATGGAGAATAGGAACTCGAGCAGGGTATACTACTGAATGCTTAAATCCTGATGGATCCAACTTCTTTAACAGAAACTGTAGAAAAGACAAGAATCTGTTTTTTATAGAATCTGGATTCAATGATATGACATCTGTGTGGCGTAAATCCGATCTTTTATAGTCTTGTTTGATAGTACTAGGATATCGTAAATCACTATAATCTAGTGGTAGTTTAACAACAAGATCTATGTCTGAACTGATTGATCCAAAACCATTGATTACCGAGCCATATATTGAAACTTGTGCCCCACGGAATATGAAACTCAGGATTTCTTCAATACTATCACACAGAACAAATCTGGCTAGAATATCCTGTTCATTTAAACGAGTGAGGTTATAAAAAGTGGAAACTTGATCATCAAACGATTGACAAGACATAAGTACACTGGTTAGTTCTTTGGAGGACGGGAGAGGTGGACGAACAGAAAGATTTGCTTTTGCATATAATTTACTGGGGTATTGATAAGATAGATACTTTTTGTTGTTTTCAACTGGCCAAATCGATGGATTGGAGTTGGTGCGAAATATTGGGAGCCTGAAACAACTCTTTACATCTCCTGAATTCATGGCACAATATATAGAGTGAAATGATGGAATTTTATGCAAAGTATATTGCAAAGATTCAGAAGACGGAGTTTGAATCAACAGAGTACCGACCGGCTGTGTTTGACTCTGTAGTGGCCAGTATACAGTACGGCTTAGTGACCCTCCTATCTTCAAAAACGTATCAATTATGTGAGGGACGCTCGCTGGTGAACAGGTCAGTAAGATACTTCTCCTAGCTAAACTCCTGTATGCTGCCGAATCAAGTAGCATAGCCGCCAACTTGTACTACAGAAAAACTATTGAAGAAGACTAACAAACTGAAATAATAGTTAATCTTACCTCTGAAGCAAGGGGCGCCTGCATACAAAATAACTCCACTTTTAAATCTCCCAAGTCTGTATGGAGTGTTACTGCCTGAAAATAAGGAAGAAATCTTTAAATTTTAAACACTGGCAAATATGAGGCATGCTAATCAGTTCTGTATTAAGAAACAGAAACATTTAAAACTCAAAGGTGTTTATTAGGTCAGTGGTAACTGATTGAGGTAACACTACATAACGCTCGACTAGTGAATTCGCCAACAATATTTAGGATTATTTGGGTTCTATGGTTAGTAGCGAAATCAATCCAGATTCATCGATTAGTTCTCACTAAACCTAGTATAGTAGTAGTAAAGAGTTCTACTGTAGTTTAGATATTTCAACATTAATTGAAGGGTATTTCAAAGACTTTCGTCACAATCAAGACTAATTTAGTCAACAAACAATGATCAGTATAGAAATTTGAGAAAGAATAGAAGACTATAGTTCAAAGGATTTATTCTATAAAAATATATAAAATGACATTTTTTTCATGATCACTTTATACGAGTTAATGAGATACATATCCATGTATGAAAGGTATTCCAGTACAAACCAATTTTTGATACTTTCGATAATCTTCTCCGAAAAAATCTACGAGTGCTTTTTCTTCTACATATATCCTTTGTTTGAAAAAAATAAATGTCACAACAGTATAAGCGACTAGGCACATGGGATTGATGAGCAAAACTTGAGTACCAATGCACCAACAAAACCATCCAACATAAGCAGGATGACGAAACCACGAGTACACTCCACTTGTTACTAACCGATGTTTACCTTCTTTCTTGTACTGAACATAATGATTGAAATTTCCCCCAGCTGTAAACAAAGCTAACTTACGTAGAACTTCACCGAAAATACACAACCCAGACCCAAGACAACTGAAAAGAGTAATACTCCATCGGCATGATGAGAACATGTCGTATAGAAAGTATTTCTCTAGCCAGTATTCAAGCACACTTGCGGTAAGGGCCGCCAAATATTCAGCGCTATGTGTAAGCATATAGATATCGAGTGAACAGTTACTGAGGTTGTAAACAGAAGTGAAATAAAACTCGGACCAGTGAAAAAATGCAAGGAAGTCAAGATAGATCCCAAAAGTACAAAAGTCACTGCGAATCTTCGTCATAGCAGATGCAAAAGCAAAGAATGACCCGAGACCAAAAACACAGCCTAAAAAGTATGCGCGCCAGAAGTTTCCAAATAGAGGGCATTGATGTACAACAGAAATGAACTTACCTACGTTAAAGATAACAACCAGCATTACAGGAAGTAGCAGACAATTTTGGAGAAGAAGCGATTTAAAAACACAGCTTATCACTGAAGAGGGAGTATCATTGCAAAGAAGGAAAAGAAATAAAGTAGAACCACATACGAAACTTAAAAGGGAAACAAAAGAATCCACACTACGGGCATGAACTACACATGGCCTGACAACCATCGGGGATACAATGTTCAGCCTTCGGTGGATTTTCGCCTAGCTTGAAGGTAACTTATTGGTTATGGGAGTGTGGAGAGGAAACAAAGGAAAGTGTGAGCCAAAGATTCAGTAAGCACATATAATTTCCTTACACTAAATGATGAATACAATCAAGAATCCGAAATAATAAGCGTGAGAGTGAGACAATTTAACAATCGAGGTTAAAAGTAGGGTTTAACCGGACTCCAAGAAGCCCGCCCTCCTGGAGGACCTCGTGTCCAATCAACAATGCTTTTTAACATATAAATATAAAATAGATTTATTTGAGCTCGCTTCGTGTCCTCTTGCTACCTTTTCAGGTCTTTGGTAGCTTCGAATGGTGAAGCTGTCTTGAATGAGCTAGATTTTTAATCGGTGTGATGAAGAATGAGTGTATCAGAGCTTATGTTGCCTTCTCCGAATAACTGCATTACGAGATGGCGTACCAAAATGCAAGTTAGTGAGTATCCTAAACCGAAGTTATCCATCTAGCGATGTGTACGTTGAAACCAGTGAGGTAAACATTAATTGAGGGAACATTTACAACAATTTATTTTAAGGGTTTCCATAACACTAGACTAATAAAATGATGAAAATAGTTACTATTAGTGCAAGGATAATTATCCAGAAATTCTACTCAGTTTGTGTGCAAGCTTTTGCGTATTTTAATAACCTAGCTTTGTGCTAGATTGTATTTTATAGACATACTTCGACATCTATATCTTTAGTACATCCTCGCGATTTACACTAAATGCATTTTATTTATTATTTCTTTCACAATAAAAATGATTCTGACTCTTTAATTCAAGCATTTGTATGAACCCACATACTTCTTATGCAATATACTCCCTACCCCAGACCCACACATATACTGCTGCGTGATAATGTGTGTACCATCAAAACTAAAAATATTCAAAACAAAACTCAGACGGACGTACTCATTAAGTTTGCATTATTGTAAAACAGCCTTCACCCAAACATACTTGTAGCAGATGGGCCATATGAAGCTGTAAGAGTTCTTGGTGAATCCCTCATTTGCACTGGTTCCTCAGCAATCGTGAACTCATCTTTGCCCTGATCATGCATCAGAAGCTCTTCACACGTCAAACTCTGTTGGATTCTGAGGTTTGTTTTCTTTCTATTATTCCTTTGAGCTTCTTATATTATTCTACGTTACTATATGTTCCATCTCAACTTACTTACTTACTTACGCCTGTTACCCCTAATCGAGCATAGGCCACACACCAGTTTTCTCCAACCAACTCTGTCCTGGGCTCACTTCTCCAGTTCTGTCCAATGTTTGTTCATTCCTCTCATATCTTTCTCGATTTCTCGGGGTAGAGTGTTCTTTGGCCTTCCTCTTTTCCTTTCACCTTAAGGGTTCCATGTGAGGCCTTTCTTGTGACGCAGTTAGGTGCTTTTCGTAGAGTGCGTCCTATCCACTTCCACCACTTCTTCCTGATTTCCTCCTCCACTCGAATCTGGTTTGCTTTCTCCCACAGTGCGTTGTTGCTGATGGTGTCTGGCCAACGAATACGAAGTATTTTGCGTAGACAGCTGTTAATGAATACTGGTATCTTGTGGGTGATGGTTTTGGTGCTTCTCCAAGTTTCCGCTCCATAGAGTAGAAATGTCTTGACATTTGTATTGAAAATCCTAATTTTGGTTTTGGTTGGTTATTGTTTGGAGTTCCAGATATTTTCAACTGTAGAAATGTAGCCCTCGCTTTGCCAATCCGCACCCTCATATCTGCATCGGATCCACCTTTCTCGTCGATGATGCTGCCCAGATATGTGAAGGTGTTAATGTCCTCCAAGGCATCTCCATTAAGAGTGATTTGGTTGGTGCATGTTGTGTTGCATCGGAGAATTTTGCTTTTCCCTTTATGTATGTTGAGACCTACTGCTGCAGAGGCTGCTGCTACACTGGTCGTCTTCTCTTGCATTTGTTGTTGCGTGTGCGATAGAAGAGCCAGATCATCTGCAAAGCCCAGATCGTCCAGCTGCGTCCTAACAGTCCAGTTGATACCGTGCTTCCCTCCAGATGTCGACGTCTTCACAATCCAGTCGATGACGAGGAGAAAGAGAAAGTGTGAGAGTAAGCAACCTTGCCCAACACCGGTCTTCACCTCGAAAGAGTCTGTTAGCTGTCCTCCGTGTACGATTTTGCAGTTGAATCCATCGTAAGAATTTTGTATGATGTTAACTATCTTCTCAGGCACACCGTAGTATCGAAGGACCTCCACAGTGTTTTCCTATCCACGCTATCGAATGCTTTCTCGTAGTCGATGAAGTTGATGTACAGTGGTGAGTTCCAATCAATTGATTGTTCCACAATGATCCGTAATGTTGCAATTTGGTCCGTACACGATCGATCCTTACGAAATCCGGCCTGTCGATCTCGAAGTTGGGCGTCTACGAGGTCCTTCATTCTGGTTAACAACACCCTGTTGAAGACTTTGCCTGGAATTGAAAGAAGAGTGATGCCTCTTGTAGAATCCTTTTTGAATGTTTTGTTTTTTGGAAAATCCCTCCATGTTTACATATTTTTGTTATGACATGACAGACTTTTTCTGTTGACATTTTTGGTATTTTATTTGATTCTAATTTGAGATTTTATCATTGTATATTGTTATTATTTCTATATTTTGTACTTATATTGAAGTTTTTGTGTTTGCTTCTGATCTGTATATATGTTGTTTAAATCTGATCTTTAATATGGCTACAGCCATATTTGGATTGATACGGTAGCTGTTGGACTTAACGTCACTTATTTATCTTTGTTTCGGATACTCTTCGGAGTAATTGTAACCTGGAGGGTGCATTAATTCCAGGTACTGCTTTGTATTTCCATCTTTTTATTAATAAATACCGTTTTCTCCTAGAATTTTTGCTTTTTCTGGACCTTGGACTGGGAGAAACGAGTTCAGGAGTGCACTTATTGGAACCCATTGGAACTGCCACCGTAGAAATCCATTTACAGTCTGGAATTATCCATCACTTTTGATTAGAAGACCAATTACAGTTGGATTATTAAGAAGAATAAAGAAACATTTGGAAATTTAATCGTTTATAACCCTAACTTTCTTGAAAGAAGAATCTTGGATTACTTATCGTACTTTCGTATTCGAACTGTATTTTGGAAAACGATTTTTTGATTTTGGAAAATTTATACCTGTGGAATTCCTATATTTTGTATTTGTTATTTATCTTCCGTTGAACTTCACTTATAATGTCCAATCGCAAGAAAACAAACACGAGGAGGGTGGAAGAGCTTGACGTATCCCGAAATGCTAGGCAAGTCGTTAATGATGATTGTTTAATGGGTTCCTACTATGTTAACACTGATGTTATGTCTGATACTTATTATTGTAAGTCACCTTTGACAGGCATTAAGGAACTAGGCTTAAGTGAGAGTTCTAAGGTACCAGAGACGGATCAGATACTTAGGACACCGATAGTAGGCTTAGAACTACCTAAGGTTGAACTTTCATTTTTTGATGGAAAATCTCGCGACTACTTTAGATTTATGCGTCAAATCAAAACGTTTATAGAACCAAGAATAAAAGATGAAAATTTGCGTTTATTATATTTAATTCACTACTGTAAGGGAAAGGCAAAAAATGCGATTGAAGGCTGTCTTATAATGGATCCACAAGCGGGATATAAGAGAGCTAAGGTTATTTTAAAACAGCTCTTTGGACAGTCACATGTAATAGCCCGTGAAACCTTAGAGGACTTATTTAGAACCGGGAATGCGGATTTTAATGATCCTGAACTATTGACGAATTTGGCGATTAAAATGCAGAATGCTGCTTTAACCTTAGAACAGCTAAATTGCACAACGGAACTTCATTCCATGGTTACTTTAGAACGAATAGTCAGGCTCTTACCTCGTCGAATGCAAGCCCAGTGGGCAGAGCTGGGAATCAAGTGGGACGAAGAGGAGAGAGAGCCTAATTTCAATGAGTTGACGGAATTTATTATGTCTCGTGCTAAGATAGCTAGTAGTAGGTTCGGAAGATTAGCTTATCGGGCTAAAACAGGACATAATACGGAAGCTACTAGTGGTCTGCGTGCGAGACATGAGGATTCTTCGTTTCTACCTAACGCACGCCCGGAAGATAAGAGAGTTGTCAATTATATCACGAAAGTATACGCTGTTGAAGGACGAGTATGTGACCGTGACGATGTAAAACCTCTTGATGCGTATCCTAGTAAGAAGCCGGTTGGTGTAACAGATAAGATGGCTTTTCTAAGTATGGAAAAGAAAGAAAAAGGTGAAAAGTGTAGGCATCAAGATGGATCCGAAGTGTGTGATGATAAAAGCCTCTTAGCTGCTCGAAAAGCCTGGAACGGTTATTTGGATTCGAGTAAACAGAGGTTAATGAGTTCAGTAAATATGAATAAGGCCCAGGCAGGATTGTCTGAACGGAATAAAGCCTATGTTCGGAACCCTTCACTTAGGGTAAATTATATAACGGGACCTAGAGTAGATTCTAGGATAAGTGATGGCGGTACTGTAAAGGCTAAGAAGCCTAGGAAACAACATGATGCTACTATTATTAAGAAGCCTAAACATCATTCTCTTTCGGATGCTATGACTAGCAATGGAAATAGTAGTCATCAGAATCTTAGTAGTGACAGCGATAATAAGGAGACAGAAAGTGTGAGCAGTCCACTTATAGTGACTAGTCGATCAACTTCATCGAACGAGCCTTCTAGTGTTTCGACGTCATCGGACCTTGTCGCGAATGTTAAGTTGATTGAGGATACACAAGGTTGTGTAACTGTAAGTGTTCCTACTTCGGTTGACTGTCAGTCAAGTGATGATGAGAAGGAAGCGTCTGATGGTAACAACCAATCTACAGTGTTGCATGATAACGATGCTATTGATGAGCATATGTCTTGTGTCTCTGAAACGGAACATGAAGAACAACAAGTGAGTATATCAGTTTCGAATTGCGATACTAATGCTGTTCTTTCATGTAGTGATATGAGTTATACAAAAATGGAAGAGTTCCACTCTACGGATGCTAGTGCAGACCGAATCGACGCGACTTGTCTGACAGAACGGAATCATGATGACGTTGATAATAATCTGGATGTCACTGATGTGACAAATGAGTTACCGACGATGACGAATGCTGATCAAACCTCCTCTGTATCAGGAGATGGAGAGATAAATATTGATCCCATGTTATGCTACTTAAGGTCTTCTGGAGACGAAGAAATGTCAAAATTGGAGATCCCACCCTTGCATATTATCTATGGGTCAAGAACTTCTGTTGATAAGTCAGCATCACGGACTTCATTGTATCTGCTGATCGGAGCAAGTGGTGGTGGATTGACGACTCATCCCCATGATAGGGAATGTAGTTCCCGGATAGGATATGACCAGTTTTACGACGTGTTGTACATGTTCGTGTGGGTTAATTGGGTAAGGTTTATACTACCGTTAGGTCATGCTACGATAGATAGGGGAATCAAGGGCCTGATGGGAAGGTATAGGTACCTAGTTAGCTTGATAGGTCATATCCATGTTGGATGGCGGGTAGGCGTACTGCTGTAAGTCCTACACGTTCTTCCGGTGTGGATTAGGGGATGAGTGGGAACCCTAAATAGAAGTGTCATTAACGCTTGCTCTTTTGCATGGAGGGATTTTGCGGGCCGGTGTAGAATCCTTTTTGAATGTTTTGTTTTTTGGAAAATCCCTCCATGTTTACATATTTTTGTTATGACATGACAGACTTTTTCTGTTGACATTTTTGGTATTTTATTTGATTCCAATTTGAGATTTTATCATTGTATATTGTTATTATTTCTATATTTTGTACTTATATTGAAGTTTTTGTGTTTGCTTCTGATCTGTATATATGTTGTTTAAATTTGATCTTTAATATGGCTACAGCCATATTTGGATTGATACGGTAGCTGTTGAACTTAACGTCACTTATTTATCTTTGTTTCGGATACTCTTCGGAGTAATTGTAACCTGGAGGGTGCATTAATTCCAGGTACTGCTTTGTATTTCCATCTTTTTATTAATAAATACCGTTTTCTCCTAGAATTTTTGCTTTTTCTGGACCTTGGACTGGGAGAAACGAGTTCAGGAGTGCACTTATTGGAACCCATTGGAACTGCCACCGTAGAAATCCATTTACACCTCTGTAGTTCTCATACTTGCTCAGGTCGCCTTTCTTTGGTATTTTGATGAGGTATCCTTCTTTCCAATCTGATGGTACTTGTTCCTCATCCCAAATCTTCTTGAAGAGGATGTAAAATATTTTTGCAGTTGCTTCTACATTGGCATCATTGCCTCTGCTGGATGTTGTCTGGTCCTGTTGCTTTACCGCTCTTGATTTGTCTGATGGCCATACTGATCTTCTCAATCGTAGGTGCGCCAATATTAATTGGGAGGTCCGTGGATGCTGCTTCGATGTTGAGTGGGTTCAGTGGAGCTGGTCGATTCAGGAGTTCCTTAAAGTGCTCTACCCACCTATTTCGCTGTTCTTCAGTGTTGCTGATTATTTTCCCATCCTTGCTTTTCACTGGTCGTTCTGGTTTACGATAGTTTCCGGCGAGCTTATTTGTTGTTTCGTAAAATAGTCTCATGTTTCCGTCTCTTGCAGCCTTTTCCACATATTTTCGTTTGTCAGCTCTGATGCTCATTCTTCACTCCAGTGTTTGCTTCTGTGTATGCAGCTTGTGCGGTAACTTTCTGTGCTCTTGGTCGGCTGACAATGATTGCTGCTTTCTTGTTCCTCCTTTCTTCAATTTTCGCAAGAGTATCAACAGAGATCCATTCCTTACGATGGTACTTCTTGTGATCCAGAACTTCGTGACATTTTGAAGTGATTGCCTCCTTGATCACTTTCCAATAGTTCTCCAATGTTGCTTCCTCTCCATTGAGTAGATCCTGAAAGGCCTGGAACCTATTGGTGAGGGCTATCTTGAATTTGTTGAGTTTTATGGCATCCCGAATAAAGGCTGTATTAAACTTCTGTGATGTTGTCTGTCCCGTTGTCCAGTGCTTCTTTAGTTTCAGTTTCATTTTGGCGACCAGCAAGTGGTGATCTGATGCTATATCAGCTCCTCTCTTGGTTCTCACATCCTCCATGGTCCTTCTGAACGTTTTGTTGATACAGATATGGTCAATTTGGTTTTGAGTAGTGTGGTCCGGTGAAATCCATGTGGCTTTGTGAATGCGTTTGTGCGGGAATATTGTACCACCGATGACCAGTTTGTTGAAGGCGCATAGGTTCGCAAATCTCTCACCATTGTCGTTCCTTTCTCCCAGTCCATGTCGTCCCATGATGTCTTCATATCCAGTGTTGTCCATTCCAACCTTGGCATTCAGGTCTCCCACAAGAATCGTCAAATCCTTTGGTGAACATTTCTCAACGATTGACTGCAGCCTTTCGTAGAATTGATCTTTAACGTCGTCATTGTAGTCATTGGTAGGTGCATAACATTCGATGACGTTCATTGTAATGTCCGCCTTCTTTGTTTTGAAGGATGCTTTAATGATCCTCGGTCCATGAGATTCCGATCCTATCAGTGACTTTTGTGCATGTTTGGAGAGCATCAGTGCAACTCCTTGTGTATGTGAAGCATTTTCCTCTTCATGACCAGAGTATAACAGCAGTTCCCCTGAAGCTAGTGTTACGGGAGAAACGAAGACATTTTGCTGATCAAAACCTTCATGTATAAATATCATTAATTTCACTGTTTTTGGGTACATTTGTTTTACTTAACTTGTGAACTTGTTTGAATTATTATTTGCGGACATATTGGACTCCCGTTTCTCTTTGTTGTTCGTTGCAGTTTTTTGCTCCAAGAGATAATAAATTAGAAGGTAATTGTAATTATTATAATTATTGTTGTTAGAACGACATTGGTCGTCTATTTGTAATAAATTATTTTGGTGGAATTTGTGATTTGGAATAAACTTTGGTATCTACTTTGGAGTTTCGTTCTTGGTATAGAAATTTGGGACCTTGAATTACCAATAGATGACAACAGTGCTTCGTAAGATCGACGAGCAAAAAACTGGACGTAACAGCTAGTCTCAGTTGTCCTACTTGTGTCCAATGCGTTTCACTGATGCCGAGCACCTCGAGGTTGTATCTTTTCATTTCTGCCGCAACTTGAAATAGTCTTCCAGTCTTCCACAATGTACGAACGTTCCATGTACCTAAAAGAATGGTTGCTCTGGTTGTGAGAAGAGGCATCGGCCCCGTGACTTCCGAGGGAATTCGGCTTTCATCACGCGACGTCATAATTCTTCTTCCGACTTTAAGGGGAGAGTTAAAATGGTTTGAATTAATTTTTCTGGTTAGCGTTTTTTTTGTCGAGTTAGTTTTTGACGGAATGGGGTCGCCAACCCCATGTCCAACCCTCCTCCTTTACCCGGGCTTGGGACAGGCAGTAGCCCCGAAGGTTCTACTGGCGGAGTTTGTTTGCTTCTGTGCATACAGTTTATTCCCGGGCTTTTTCTACTACTGTTCGGCTGATATTGACTGCTGCCTCCCTGTTCTTCCTTTCTTGAAAGCGATACAGACTATCTACAGGGATCCATTTCATGTGATGGTGCTTCTTATGGCCCAAAACTCGATGACATGTAGAAGCTATTGCTTCCCTGATTTCTTTCTATCACTGGATGATGTTCATTGTAACCCCTTGTTTCTTTGTTCCGAAGGAGGTTTTGGTGATTTTAGACACATCAGACTGCCTCGTATCCGTTCTTTTCGTGCTTGTTTGTACAGCACCATTGCAACTCTTAGAGTGATGCGATTTCTTCTTCATGGCTGGAGTATAACAGAACCTAACCAGCCCGTGTCTGACGAATTCCACTGATTATAAGTGCCACTAGTTTGTATAATTTCGTTTCAGAAGTTATAAAAATAATGTTCAGAATGTATGAGAAACGGAGATTGCTAGGTTTTTCACTGCTTTTAAATACTAATGACACACAATAATCTCACCAAAAATAAAACCTTTTTGTATACTGAGAGTTATTTAAAGTGACAGAATTCTTAATGTTCGGCTATAAGGGTATTCGGATGCAGCTGAATCAAGTGAGACTGAAACTGAAGGTCAATTAAACTATTTCATTGTGATATACTCGTATGATATTGTTAGTTATATTTCTCATAGTTTTACTGCTTAGATATCAACTCTGTTGCTACCCATTGCGTCTGAGAAAGCTTTTTGTCGATCTCTGGTATCGAGAAACCCGATCAGTCACCCTGGTTACAATTGGTTACACCCATGATTACTTTTATCCTTTATTAACATAATTTCGCAGCCACTGACCGAATAATTAAGTATATTTACGCTAAAATTAGTTCTCCGGTGACATAAAAGACGCCATCATCATTCATATTTATAAACTACGAAGAGATATTTTGTCAACCTATCAGTCTGACAACCATAGTCGGTCGTCTGTAAGAACAAGTAATTTGAGATTGTTCACGACGTCATGAATAGTCATATAATATCCCAACTCTAGAGCAACATCGGTTTGGAAGTGAATGGTTCTGCTCAACCAAAGTAGAATTGAGACAGATAGCTGGAAGGTTCTGTGAAATAAGAATCTGTGTTCAGAAGAGTTGTTTGTAGTGACAGTCGAATATTGCTGATTCGTAGACCCATGATAGTTAATGGTGAATGTATTATAAGTTTGTAGCTTTATGAAGAAAACGCAGCTGCCGAAATGGAAACACTTATTATTGTACATGTTAAATAAGAAATAAGTTGTTCTATATTTGCTCGTGAAAAAGATATTGGATATTGGAAACTGAGAATCAAAGGTTACTAGAAGCTAGCGCGCTACCAATGGTTAGGTACGCTACGATGGTTGTCAAAATTTATTCATTATGGTAGTAATACTTCGACGGGCATATTTGCATGCGTAAATGGAATGCTATTGTACACCATCAGTGTCTAACTGTGGAGAGAATCGAAGAAAAAAGTGTGACCGTGATGTCTCTCATTGTTTATTGTCACTTCGATGGCAAAATGAATCTAATAGGCACATTGAACATATCCAGGATTGCTGGCCATGGTCACCGGATGTAAATTCAGTATTTCGGGTGATTGAATTTTAGGATCCTGATTGTCCCAAAGAGCCCGGATTATGTTATCTTTTATCCGAATCAAAAGAACGATTCACCAATTGTTGTTGCAAAGGTCCTCTTTGCAATGGTGTTGATAACAACACCATAATATCACCACCCCCCAGTAAGTCTAGAAACCCGTTTTATTATTTGTTGATCAGTGTGATTTAATTCGGGAGAATAGGAGGATGCTTTGTTGTTTTTCGAGCTGAAATTTTTCCACCCTAGAAATTCTCATTATCTATAGATATAATCTTTTTATGGTTATTTACACTGGTTTTCGGTCAAAATTGATGATGTTTAAGGAAGTAGCTTTCAAAATGGCGCTTTGTAACTGGTATTACCTCGACAAAACATAGTGCATTAGTTGTAGTATCTGGAATTTATCTTGAACTTTCCGGCTGCTCATACACAAGGAAATTGATGTCAAACTACCGAAATTTCGATAAGGTCATTGACATTATCCAGCATCTTAGTCACAAGCTAGTATGATGTAGTTGATCACTTTCAGGATCGCATCCTGTTAGGAAGCGATTTCAAGTATATCATTTATATTCGGTCAGTTGTTTCGCCATAAAGATACCGAAGCTCCACACTGAAATATTTTGAGGCGTAAAACTTATAAAAGATTCGGCAGTCTATAAGTCTTGGTTAACGTTAGTTTACTATTTTCTGTTTAAGAATGTAGCTAGCATTGCATTTCCATACTTGTTTTTTGGTATGTCACAGAAATGCCCATTCCCATCGTAAAACTCTGTCGCTCACTTTTTGTTCAAGTTAAATTTATTAGACCAGTCAGTCCGTCAGTCGACCGCTACGTGGGACTTGCTACGTACTTCAGCTCAACAAGATGAAGCTATTTAGCCAAATCCTGGAATAGTAGAGGGATTGACAATATCATTGTGACTAATGGTTCAATTAATGAAAATATAAATCAGTGACATAAGAAGCTATAGATTTTGGAGGGAAGATGGAATAAATGCTCTTGCGCCATTGCGAACAACAAGCTAACCCTGAAGCAACATTTTGCATTTTGGGGGGTAGAATCGCATCCTGACACATGCTAGCATTGTTGCTTAAGATGGTCAGAATACTGAGTTTTGTCAGTGCCTTAACCAAGCAGAACTATTCCATCCTCGTATTCTAGGTCGACAGGTAAATCTGGTAGAAAATCATTCTGTGGGAAGTCAGTCAGTGAGAGTATTATCTTTAAAAGCATGAGTACTACAAAGCTAAATAAAAATGGGGAAAGCAGACGATTTTGGTGGACAGATAGCTTATCACAAATACCTTAATCTTTAAACTAATCTCGTTTTTAGTAGATAGCTCATTTTGCAACCAAAAACGATGAAAAAAATACTAAACTATTATATTGCTTAAAATCTATAAATATCCATCACCTTTTGCTTTCGAGTGAATTACCTTTGTTATCCTCATTTTTTCTACGTAGCTCAAGCCAACAGGTCTTTGGTTATGAAAGGGTTAGATCCCATTTTTGTCCAAAACTCAAGATCGATTGGAAACACTCCACTACCAAGTCACAGTTTCGATATGCAACATAAGGATAATCTCCTTACCTTGATTATCATAGCCCCAATAATCATCGGTTTGTTTTTAATCCTGATATTCTCCGTTTTTACCCTATTTTTGCCTCGATATCGCGTCTGTCGTCCAAAACAGGTAGGTATTTTGAATTTACTTCATAGTTTGTCTATTAAAGAGCATGCGGTTCCCAAGAAAGCATAAAACCTGTACACACTGCAGGAAATTGCCTCACTTGATGAATCGTTTCCATTGTTTATCTATGTGTATACGTGGCCATCCTATCAAAGATAATGTTTCAAATGGGTCAGTTGCTCAAAATGAGTACTTTGGAATGAATAGTCTGTCTAAACACCCAATAACAGGTCTTCAGTGGTTATCTAGTGAATGTTTTGAGGTTAGTGTTATTCAGACGATCATTTAGTATGTTTCTTTCGCTAAATTTGACGTAGTTTTACATTGTCGTTCCATGTTGATTGCGTTATTGTTGCTTGTGGTGGGGTTTCGTTCTTTGAGCTGGATGTTTTGCTTGTAAAACTTTCATTGTTCTTTTCAACCACATCATCAGTAGAAACTTGTTGCCCACCAAAAATTATGTACATGGCACAGGTGTATATTGTTTTTGCCAAATGGTCGAAATAACATTTGAAAATGAACAGTATTAATCTGTTAAAGGCCTTAGAATATGCATGCCTCCGTAACATTTATATCGCATGAGATAACGTTTAAATTAACATTGTTCAGCCTAAAGTTTTGGCTAATAGGGATAATTGATTCAGTAATGTTTATTGACATATTTGGCTTTAAACATATCTAGGATGATAATTGTGCTCAACATATATTTCAGATGAAAAGGGTAGGAAAGTTAACGCTAGTCTCACTGAAGATGTGGGATAGTTAAATGGGACCATAGCTTATTAATTCGATTTGGAATAACATAAATTATTGTTTATAGACGTTACAATCTTTTTCCGTTGATGAAGTTTTCTTCACCGCATGGTTCATTCAAGCAATGAAAAATTGCTACACAGGATTTTGTAGTGCCAGTAAATGCAAAAAATACTTGTTATGTCCGGTGTGGCGATTGCAGCGTAAAAGGTATTCCATGAACTGGTTATTAGCAAGATTAAAAATGGTCTGATGAAGTAAGTTGTAACAGTTGGTTAATTTAAAGCTCAAATCGTACATATTTTTCGTCATTCTAGGTAAATGTATGTCACAGAAACTCAAATTTGCAAATCTTAAACCAGTGTCTCTCATTAGTTGACTGATATATCATGTCAATGCACTACGTTTTCACAAATATGGTCTTACTCTGGATGATTACATCTTTTCTTGTTTGTGTTCCATGATCGATTATTGGTGTAGCTAACATTAAGATATTTCATTATTGCACTAATTTCCGGCCCAGTAAATATAAGCATAGTTTTTTTATATGGTTTTTTTCCTTGTATATCAGCTGTGCTCATTCATAAAGAAGGTTGAGTTAAGAGCTCACGGACGTTTTGGTCAAGTATGGCTTGGTCGATTTTCTTCACCAGATGATCACAATGATATGAATCTAAATTCGTCACAATTATCATTGAATAAGAATACTAAAGAAATCGATGTAGCTATAAAAATATTCACGTCAACTGAGAAACGTAGTTGGGAGACAGAAGTTGCGCTTTTTAATGTTTCAGGTTTAGAACATACCAATATTCTACAATATTATGGTGCAGATCAGGTTAGTTGAACATAATCTTTAATGTTTTGATAGTTTATTTTAGTGAATTTAATGTATGGTTTTTTTCAAAAATTCTCCGAAATTATTAGCTCTTTACCAGTATCGACTTACCCCACGATTTTCGACCGATTTGATCTCTCGTGCTGTTACGGATATGAAGGCGGTTGTCACTTCCCGGCTGCCCACACCGTGGAAGGTTGTTTCTTGAGGGACCTGAAAAGGAAGATAGATTAGTGTTGGTCAACCCCACGATACCTAACTCTCAGTTGCATTTCAGTTCATACTTGTATTGTTTAGTTTAATTTCTAGTATCCCTTTATTCATCTTATCAGGTCACTGTTATATAAACTCAAAAAAAACTAAATACTTTAAATAGACCATCTAAAATGACTTGTGTTGAGTTAAAGTAAAATTTTCTCCTAATGACTAAGCATGAAATCAATTCTCCATTGCTTGTGTAAATAGTATCATTCTAAAGTTTACTAAAACAAAATTTTAATTATACTACATTATCTTGTAGAGATTTCGAATACTCATAAATGATATAATTACTACACATTATCATAATATGAATGGATATTTAATGTTACTTAAGTTAAGCATACTTGTTATTACCAACTAATCCGATGCAATTTACATCAATCATACTTCTTGAACAATATCTTCTAATTCTAACCTCTCCGATTACTTGTAATACATTTACTACCTCTATTACTATTGGATTTGAATTGATAATTACATCTCTGTGTTAATATGGTATGGCGACATGAACTGATGTACTTACGTACGAAGTTCTACGTTGCATCTGACTGATGTATATTTGAAAAAAACATTTAAAGGTTTTTTTGTTGAGGGAGCTCTAGTTTATTACTAGTATAAATATTTGATATCATAATTCCAAATCCTGTTCCATGTACTTTTGTTTGGAGGATATGTGAATGTTTTTTAAAATGTGAAACAAGTTTAATTCGATTTGGCTTAATTGATGGGTTAGTCAATAAATAATACACTTATTTTTTTTTCATAAATTATTTGGAAAAGAAATAGTTCTTTCACTTTTGTATTAAAAAAAATGAAATATTTTAAATGTGAGTTACAATGCAAACTATGATCACATTTTTATTATGATGATGAAATTTCAAAATATATACGATGTTACAGGTTCTAACATCACTTACTTACTTACTTACGCCTGTTACCCCCAATGGAGCATAGGCCGCTCACCAATTTTCTCCAACCAACTCTGTTCTGGGCTTCCTTCTCCAGTTCTGTCCAATGTTTGTTCATTCCTCTCATATCTTTCTCTATTTCTCAGCGTAATGTGTTCCTTGGCCTTCCTCTTTTCCTTTCACCTTAAGGGTTCCATGTGAGGCCTTTCTTGTGACGCAGTTAGGTGCTTTTCGTAGCTTGTGTCCTATCCACTTCCACCGCTTCTTCCTGATTTCTTGCTCCAATGCAATCTGGTTTGTTCTCTCCCACAGTAAGTTGTTGCTGATGGTGTCTGGCCAACGAATACGAAGTATTTTGCGTAGACAACTGTTAATGAATACTTGCATCTTCTGGATGATGGCTTTGGTAGTTCTCCAAGTTTCCGCTGCATACAGTAGAACTGTCTTGACATTTGTATTGAAAATCCTAATTTTGGTTTTGGTTGAAAGTTGTTTGGAGTTCCAGATATTTTCAACTGTAGAAATGCAGCCCTCGCTTTGCCAATCCGTGCCCTCACATCTGCATCGGATCCACCTTTCTCGTCGATGATGCTGCCCAGATATGTAAGGGTGTTAACGTCCTCCAAGGCATCTCCATCAAGAGTGATTTAGTTGGTGCATGTTGTGTTGCATCGGAGAATTTTGCTTTTTCCTTTATGTATGTTGAGACTTACTGCTGCAGAGGCTGCTGCTACACTGGTCGTCTTCTGTTGCATTTGTTGTTGAGTGTGAGATAGAAGAGCCAGGTCATCACTACATGAAGCTTAATTCAAATAGTCAAACTGTATCTATCTATTTCTTGCAAAAAATAGTTGTAATTCTAAGTTGAGTATATAAATTTATATATTCTCTGTGCTTCATCGATATTTAACATGGGTTCTTAGGCTTTTTTTCCACGGGTTTTCAATTGAATGTACTAAACTAAAATCATTTAATCTTAAAATGATTGTCAAAATTGTATTAGTCAACTCAAACTTATTCAAGATTGATTAATTCTCAAATGTTGATACCTGATTTGTATTCATTTGGGTTTTTTATTCTTTTTTTAAAAAAAAAACAAACATTCTATATATGTAGGTAATTGTAGATAATTCCATTGGTGAAGATAAACTGGAATATTGGCTAGTAACGGAATATCATCCATTAGGCAGTGTATATGATTATCTACATGTAAATGATATACAATGGAAAGATTTACTAAAAATTTGTACTGGTATCGCTCAAGGTTTAGCTCATTTACATATGGAAATTCCAAATATTTCAAAGCCTAGTATAGCACATCGTGATTTGAATTCTCGTAATGTCCTGTTAAAATCTGATCTTACTGCTTGTATTGCTGACTTTGGTTTAGCAATACGTTTTGAAGCTGGTCAATGTATGAGAGATGCACATTTACAGGTTAGTGAAGTTATAAAAGCATTGGTATTTTAATTATTTTATGTCTTTAAACAGAAATCTATAGGCAATTATTGTTGTAGTGTGAAATGTAAGATGTTAATTTATCAAACTATTCAGTCTTAACTCATTAGCCAAACACATTTTTTAAAAGTGAAAAACATGTTTCATTACAGACAAATACTTCATTTAGGTCCCGTCAATATGTATGTATGTATATAATGATGTGTAGGATCCAAACTGATGTTTGGACTGAGGAATAACTGTCCAGGTAGTTTAGATACTCGTGTTGCCCAGTTGAAATCAAAACAAGTGGTTTGGGTAAATGACGGTTCTAATATTCACCATAAATATAAATATACATCATTACCCAAACAATATTATCACAGCTATTCCACCAATAATTGTTCAATTATTCAAATAAATGATATTCTATCCCTCATGGATATATCAGTTTCGTTTGACAGATAATATTTAGTTGCTTTATAACACAGTGTTTCCAATTCTGGCAGAGTGCTTCAATTCACAATCAAAATACACAATTCCAGTCAAATCAAGCAACCCAATCAAAAGAGGAGTAAATCAATATGGCTGTCGCCATGACTAATTATTAGCTTAAACAACATGATTGCAGTTCATAAAGAAATATAGAAACTCAGTAAAGGCAAAAGAAATAGAAACTATAATAAAATACAAATATTATCATCTCAAAATGGAATATAACAGATTAACAAAATGTACGACTTAAGAAAACAATAAGAATATATTACAAATGTGTACATGGAGTGATTTTCACAAACAAGGCCTTCAAAAATGGATCTTACAGATGGCCAATAAATGACCCATTCGAGACTGGATTTGTTTGTACTGTTACGAACTAATCAGTTTCTTCATTTGGTTCCAGTCGATTTTAGTTTTAGTTGGAAGATCTTACTGGACACAAGTTGCGATTAAATACTTGAACATATGTCCCCCCATTCAATCTCAGTTGAAACAAAATTGAATTTAAGTTGTGTAGCTCAGTCGATGAAGAAAGCCTGCTTAATACAAGTTCTTTTGCTTCAAATGTTAATTCATTATTATGGGCCAGTTACTAAGTACAAAGTTGTACATTTGGCTACAGCTTACCCTTAAAGTATCAGGTCTGGTGGTGCTTCTCAGTCATCGCCCTATACTGCGTAGGTAGAGTGAGGTAGCTGTAAGGCTAGTGTTTTAGCCACTGAACCAACTCCCCACATTGTTAACACTACAACGTAGAACTTTGTACGTACGTACATTAGTTCACATTACCATATCACATTAGCATAGAGACGCAACTATCAGTTCAAATCTCATAGTGGAGGAGATAGTAGAAGAATTAGCGGTAGTGGAGAATATTAGGGATCGAAAATATTATTCCAGAAGTATAGTTCAGAAAGATAGAGATGTAAATATATATATTACTATCCATCGTTTTTAATAGCTTTAGGAACCTCCAAAAATCTGGAATCTAATAATTTAGAGTTTATTCGAATATTAAAAAGTAAAAATCTACAATAGTCCATTATTTCACAACTAATTTTTATAACTGAAGAGTATTGCATTTACTAATCATTTAGTAGATATGTAAATCAATCTAATGTTGCAGTATTATGGATAGTTTGAAATCATCAATCAATCATTGTTAGACCACCATTAGAAACGTGGAAGCACTGGACGGTCGTTCCGTCCTGGTATGGGACTCCCCAGCAGTGAGCATCTGCCGGCCCAGTGGTCCGATGGTAAGGCGTTCGCCTACAATGCCAAAGGTCCCGGGTTCGAATCTGTGAGGAGCATGAGTCGTGGATGCGCACTGCCGATGAGTCCCATACCAGGACGAAACGGCCGTCCAGTGCTTCCAGGTTTCTAACGGTGGTCTAACAATGATGGATTGATGATTTCAAATGTGTAAAAACGCAAACCTCCAAAACTGTGCCCCAAAATATGGATAGTTTATTAGAGAAGTTCATTTTCCATTATACTGTGTTGATCTACTTAATCTACTGAGGTTTTCTTTTTTTTTTCTATCATAGTTAGGCACTCGTCGTTATATGGCACCTGAAGTATTGGATGGTGCTATTCAATTTTCAAAAGATGCATTTCTTCGTATTGATGTTTATGCAATGGGTTTAGTATTTTGGGAATTAATGATGAGATGTTGTTGTGGTTCTAATAGAAATACAACAATTCCTGTGACTAATTATTTAGCACCATTTGAAATAGAATTAGGTCCACAACCATCAATGGAAGCATTACAACGATGGGTAGCACATGCTAAACAACGACCAAAATTTAATCCACAATGGGCATCAGATAGTGTAAGTGTGTATGATAATTTTTTTGTTTTTACAGTTTTTTTTTGTTAATAAGGTTTATTGTAAAAAAAATGCAAATGTCGACTTCAATATTGTTAAATTAACAATTTTTAAGAAAAACATTATTATTAATACCTAGTAGGAAACGAATTAGAAGTTCTAGATTAATTGGATCAAGAGTACAGAGCCAGGTGAGTTGTACCATCTCTAGGACTTCAATCAAGGGGGTTGTAACAGACCGTGCGAATGCCAGTCCTATGCAACTTTCTTTCATATCACGGTATTGTCATAAACTGAACACCTATCTGCTTATTCCATCAAGTTCGAGGATCGATAAATAATACTCATGATGATCGTATAAGAAATATAAGCCATCACAAAGTTGGTGTTTGAAGATGATTTCACTAAGTCAGTTGTCGTCATTGTGACCAAACCAACGTACTCTGATTACTTGTTTATACTGACTTGATATGATTGCTAGCTCTAGTCTGAGAGAACGCTGAGAAAAGACTAATAACTAATTAAAGCATAGTGTCATTATGTAAAGTTGAGAAATGTAGACTTTTTAGTTAGAGTTCGGATAAATATTGTAATTTACAAAGCTAAAAACAGGGAATACTAATTTCTACAGCGATTACCACTCTAACGACATACTTAATATTTGGAGGTCAAATGAACGATCTAGATTCGTGGAATGGATAGCCATCATCATCATCAGCATCATCACACACTTTCTCTATTTGTTCCTTATCGTTATCAGCCTCCTATTCGATTCGTTAGGACAGCTTTATAGTAGTTCTTGATTCTCAATAGTCATCTAGTTAAGATCACCTTGCTGTCCTGATGTTGTGTAGTAACTTGGTCTCATGCACAATTTACATCAGGCTCTCTATATATTGACTGTGACTTGCTGATTGACTAGTTGACTTCAGCCCGTGATGTAAACCACACATTTGAATTATATTCCAAATATTTATTTCTGTTATTTTATTTGGTATAATGAAACTATAAATTTGCATGTTTCATTTTGAAAAGTCACATCGAAATACCTCTTAAAGTATAGATTAAATTTTGACTGTATCAGTAATTCGTTAGAGCGAATCGCCACTAATCTAATTAAGTTGGGGTATCAACAGGTTGTGAATAAAATTGGTTTTTTTTTCTCAAAAAAGTGCAATTCTTTGCATTATCCATGATAAATTATGCATTCAAGGTGTTTCATATATTATAAAGCATGCATCCCCTAAATGTATATTTTGCAGTTATTAAAGATGTATTTATCTTAAATTTGGCTATTTCTTATGATTAGGACTTGTTATGTAAGCTCTAACTATGGAGTCTAACATCCTAACAATTATTTGAACGCTGAAACGATTAACGTAGGTTGGGGCTGAAGATGTGTAGGAACAGATTAACATGATGAACGAAAACTCATTGTTTTTTCTACTTCAGGTTGTATACCCGCTGCTAATTACCACGATTTAATAATCTAAACAACGGAAAAACTAAAAGTTAACGAGGCATTGTACATTTCAACAACCATACCTGATATTGTAGAAAATATGACATTTACTAAAAGGCGTTGTGGAGACTTTTATATTTGAAGTTTCATGGTACAGACTGAATTTGGTTAGACAACCATTTAAAATCAGCTAGCATCGGATAACTGTTTCATTCCGGGGTAGGACCCTGCATCAGTATGCATCCACTGCCTTCCCAGGGATCGAACCTAAGACCTTTGGGTCTCATATTAGACGCTAAACTTTAAAACTGTTGATTTGGGACTCGTTTAGTTTATATTTCTAACTTCAGTTAGTTCACTATATTACGTGGTTATCATCGATTATCGTTGGTTATATTTATCTCTCGCTCAATACTACTGATCATCACCACTGGTCACAGCCTCTGATTTTCATTGGTTATCTAACCAAATATGAGTCTATGATGTGAAATAATCTGTGACAATCACTCATATACATAAAGGGCAGTGGGATTCGAACGCACCACCAAATGGTTGACAGCAAATGGCCTGGAGATCGCTTTTCTAATGAAGTAAAAGTGAGTAAAGAAGCTCCTCGATCGTTGAATTTCACACACACAGATTAACACCGATTTATCCTACACTTGATTTCTCACGTTTTTCTACAAGTCATACAACACCCAGAACCTTCGAGAGATTAGGCATTCGCATGCGAGACCGCGGCCCCCGGGTTCGATTCCCGCAAGCAAGGATCGTGGATGCACACTACTAATGAGTCCCATACTAGGACGAAATGGTCGTTCCAGGTTTTTAATGGTGATCTAACAATGATCGATTTATAATGTTAACGAAACTCAACAATCTCCATAAATCTATAATGAAAATTATACATTTTCGTAAATTGGATTATGTTTAAAAGAGGCTTTAGAAAAAAATATCATTCTTTGATTGTCATGTAATAATAGTAGGATGTTACAACTATTTAGATTTTCTCTTGTTATCCAAGTATGGGGAATGCAAAGGTGGGAATGAATCGAGTAAAATGTTTATGAATTCTATTCACGAATTCACAGTTTATGGTGTGTGTGTGATGAATCGCGATCAAAGTTGATAAATGTTCATTATTATTATTATTATTATTATTATCATTATTATTTTGGTAATGTTATAGTGTAGTGGTAATATTAGTTATTGTTGTAATTGTATCACTATAATACATGTTAGTTGTATTGATATGTACATCAGAGTATCTAATTTCACTGTACAACTTGAGGTCATAGTCTTTTTTCGATTTATTTACCATTGAACTTTGTCCTTTCCTCATGTACTTTAAATAGGTTTTAATTTTAAATAGGCAAATCTTAGCTTAGAAATGCATAAAATAGTAATCGTTAAATATATAACAATTCTTATCATATTGAAACACAAATATTTGACGAAAAAAAAATGATATTTATGGTGATTTTTCGTCAAATTGATATTTCGAAGGAGAAAGCCAAGATTAAGGCAACTACACATTGATTTCAGTAATAATTTCGAATTGTCAGTATAGAGTGTTGTGAAAATTATTGAATTTTCATGGATTTTAAATCACAAACTAGTTTTCGTTAGGCCACCAGTAAAAAACTATAGGCACTGGACAACATTTTCACTCTCAGCTGTGAGGATTCACAACTTCGCATCTAATAATCGAACCTAGGATCTTAGGTCTCGTATTCGAACACTTAATCTCCAAACCACTGAGCTGTCATCGAAAGGTGTTAGTAATTAATTTTGATCAATTCCAAGATTGTGCGATCATCTTTGATTGTCCTAGGTGGAAAACTGCTTTATGCACGGCATGGTCTAGATCAATTTGTCATGACCCACTAGAACCCCAGGAATATGTATACATATAATTGCGACAAACACAAAAAGCTTGAAGTAGATAGAACGGTAATTGAAATATACAACTCAATCGTTGAAAAATTCAAATGACTGTTTGAATACATCTCAATACACCTTCATTTATCTGGCTTATTACATAGATTTAATTTCATACCAATTTATCTTTAAAACAATTTTTTCTAAAACTAGTAGTTTATGTACAGTTGATATGAGTGTGTAACGTCAACAGATTGTTATAAACCTTAACTCTAAAACACTAAACTTTACAAGTGAAAGGAATATTGTCGTGTGGTTCCTCCTTTCTCTCAGCTGGATGTTTTGATTATGGAGCTCCACCATAATCATCCAACTGAGCTACACTGTTTCTCCATCATTTTGAAGGGAATATATTTTCAGGCAGAGAAATAAATATTCACTGACACTCTTTATCCCTAGTCTTAGGTTATGACTCTTAAATTTTTTTTCTACTCCCTATGTCATCCTGTATATATCTTCTATTACTCCTATTACTATTTCGAGCTCGTATATCCTGGGACACCCGAGTGAGCAACGCTGTTATTAGGAAATGGGTGCTAGGTAAGAATGGCAGATCAATAGACGCAGTGGTGACACTTCATCAGTTGAGGTGATTGGGACATGTGTTGCGTATGCCTAACCACCGACTGCCTCGTCGAGCTTTGTTTTGTAGTGTAGGAGTAGGTTGGAAGAAAGCTAGGGGCAGCCAAACCAAAACATGGTACGAATACCTGAAGTCACTGACAGGTGGATTGAGTCATGTTGGTAAGTGTAGACTACTTGGTTGGGGTCCGCGAGATGATAATAATCGATGGTTAGGGACCCAGAATGACATTGTTCAAAACCGTTTGCAATGGCGCCGGTGCATTTATTCTTTGTGTTCTCTCGAATCCTAATCTTCTGGATTCTTCACCTCTAGTTTTGACTTTCTAAACTTATCTCACTGAATCATACTTCTTTAAGAATATCTTCTAATCCTAACCTCTCCGACTACTTCTAATACTTTTACTACCTCTATTACTATTATGGGATTAGAATTGACAATTATATCTCTGTGCTGATGTGGTATAGCAACATGAACTGATGTACTTACGTACGAAGTTCTACGTTGCATCTGACTGACTGATTACTATTTCGAATTCTACTATTCTAACATTGATCTTGATAAATTTCATCTCGTATAACTGATAATATAGTAGTGACAACTTAAACCTCCATATACACACATATATAACAGGCCTCATGTTTTAGTTTCCTATTGTAATTAATATACCTAGTACTAATAATCATGCATCTTGTAATCATTAAATTTATCCGAGTATTTTATACACATTTTTTGATGTTGTTGCTGAAAAAAAAATAGTTTCATAGATTTGTTCTACTTGTATTAGATAGAATAATTTGAAACGAATGAATATATATATATATATGATCTAAGAAACAAAGGTACTGAGATTTTAAATTGTCTTTGAACTTAGTCGGCGAATTTCTTTATATTAGTTGTTTCTTTTTATAAATTCTCATTCAAATGACAATTTGACACCAATTAGAGAATTTGTTGTTTATGAAGAAAGAAAAAAATAATTACACAGAAGAAGAAAAAGAAATTCATTATTAAATCATTGATTTGAAAAAAAAGGATTGTTGTTTTATAATGATCATTACATATATACCGATTTGATTTTGGCGTGATGAATACACACTTGACTAGTCTCTTAGTATTATATTATGTGTTATCGTAGTAATAAATCAAGAGTGTGAATTGAATGATTTGTATGTTGTATTATTTCACTTGTATTCTGTTAGATAACTAATGACAATATCTGTCATTAAAATGATGTACCAAAGAAGTACAAACTTTCTCTATTCGAACACTACAGGTTGAGTGAGAGCATATAGTGAACTGTCATTGGAATTGATTACATCAAGTGGTGTTCGTCAAGGATGTCCACTTTCTCCATTCTTGTTTAGTTTTGTCATAGATATGCTTTTAGAGTTAACATTATTTTCATCTGACTTTTCAGTAGTGGGTGGACCTTCTACAAGGGCACTCGCTTGTTGACTTAGAATATTCCGATGACATAGCTCTACTTGGTGAAGATGCTGATACAATGCATTGTCTCCTGACTACCCTAAGCAACCATGCAAGCATGTTCAAGATGCTAATCTCCCCGTTGAAATGCAAAATGTTTCTTCAGGATTGACTAGTATCGGCATCTGAACTAGTGATAGTTAGTGAAGTAGTCGAACGTGTAGACCGCTTCACTTATCTTGGGAATGTCATCAGTACTGATTGCCTGGTGTGTGACGAAATCTCAGCACGGATACAGAAGGCTCGATTGGTTTTTGCCAGCCTGCATCATTTATGACGTAGGCGTGATATCCGTTTTCTGACTAAAGGACGTGTGTATTGAGCAGTAGTTTGCTCCGTCTTACTTTATGGCTGTGAAACATGGCCGTTAAGAGTAGAGGACTTTCGTAGGTTACTGGTTTCCGATCATAGGTGTTTTCGAAGCATTGCTCGTGTATCTTGGGACAACCGAGTGAGCAATGCTGTTATTAGGAAATGGGTGCTAGGTAAGAATGGCAGATCAATAGATGAAGTGGTTGGGACATGTGTTACGAATGTCCAACCACCGACTGCCTCGTCGAGCTATGTTTTGTGATATAGGAATAAGTAGGACGAAAGCTAGAGCCGGTCAGACCATAACATAAAGTCACTGACAAGCAGACTGAGCCATGTCCATAGGTGTCCACTACCTGGTTGGGGTCCGCGAGATGATAATAATCGATAGTTAGAGACCCTGAATGATATGGCTCAAAACCGTTTGCAATGGCGCAGGTGGATCCGTCCTTTATGTTCTCTCAAATTTTAATCTTCTGAATTCCTCATGACCGCCTTTTCTTTTTTAATCGATTTTTTTAAAGTATACATCTTGAATGATCTGTTCGATCATTAATGTTTTTGATCACTACTAATACTTCTACTACCTCCACTACTATTGGGTTTGAATTGACAATCGCTTCTCCGTGCCAATGTGATATGGCAGCTTGAACGGATGCAAGTACGCACGAAGTCCTACGTGCGAAGTTTTCACTCCTCCTACTTCAGATTATGAAGACGAGTAGCACCATTATACCTTCATACAACTAAAACATAACTCAATACTCACTGTATAAACAAATCCATATTCGGTAGATGATCATATATGTAGAATACCAATCGTGTAATGGTGGTTATAGAACACACACAAATAACTACGGCTATGTACAGCATTTTCGGCTTCAGTTCCATTTATTTAGTAGGTGAATACTATGCATATTATAGATTTTATTTCAAACTATAACTTTAACTATATGAGTTTCGTCTTTCGGCATATCGCCTTCAGTATACATTGATATTTTCGTATCAGACAGTTGGAAATGACTGCAATTGCTTCAAATGAAATTTTCAATAGAGCAACATCTAAAATATTGACTTTAAATGTTAATGCTGGACCTGTCAACTGCACGAATTTCATTGTTGGCAACCGACCTTCTCAAAAGTTTAATGTTTGCTTGCTTTTCCAACCATTGATAAAAGTGAATATTTGTTAAAAATGTCTGTACATACAATAGTACAACATTTCAAAATTACCTTATTTTAAAGTTTTATAGCCTGTTTTGGTTTCTTTATTCATTGAATTAGAAAAAGGAAAACACATCAAAATTCCTGCACTTAGTTAATTTCAACAAAGTTGATGAATCAATTGACTGAAACTAACCAATTATTATCGAGCTCATTCACAATAATTGTAATCTTCATGCTCATGTTTTACACAGCAGTCTTTTTTTCTTTCTAGAAAAAAAAAGAAACTATTGATGTAAAAATCTCTCAGTTTGTTTCTATTTATTCCCTTTATGTTCTATTCTTGTAGGGTTTATGTACATTATGGGAAACAGTTGAAGAATGCTGGGATCAAGATGCAGAAGCACGTCTTTCAGCTGGTTGTGTAACAAAACGTTTGACTACATTACTTCGTCTATCTGTTATTAGTCAACAATACAATGACAATCGTAATAATAATAATAATAATAATGGTATAACTGAAAAGGCCAATACTAATAATCATAACACAATGGTCAGTAATTATCCAATTTCTTCGTCAGTTGATGCAAACACTCAATCAACAGCTTGTAAGCCATCACTACCACCACACTACTACAATTATGGTTCTCCATGTATTAGTACTTCTACTGCTGCTACCACAACCACCACGTTGATGATGGACACTTCTAAAGATTTATCCAATGATAGAAATACTTCTGCATCTTTATTGCATTATTCCAAGGCAGATGATATTGGTGTGAATAATTTTTCGAATGCTTTAAGTACTACTACTATTGCTACTTCTACTACTACTACTAATAATAATAATAGTAATATTAGTTCCATACTAAATCCTACTGGTAGTGCATGTCCACCGACAATTTGTCTACCTTATTCTATGAATATTAATTTCTCTACACTTACACAACATAGACCTCAACTAATCAATGGTGAACTAATACAATCTGAAGAAAAAAATCAAAATCTTTTCTCCTTCAATCGAACAATTGCGACAACAACAACACTACCAACACCACCACCAACAACAACAACAAATAATCAAGCATCATGTAGAAATAGTAGTGCAGATTATTTTTTAAAATCAATTCAGTCGAATCAACAACAATCACCAGTAGTTCATGATGATGAAGATCAATCAACAGAATATCAAAATTTATTATTCTCTGCATCCAATTTACAATGATGATGATGATCATCATCATTGTGATCATGAGATAAACAAAAAAAATGTATTTAAACACAAATTCTTCTGTTTCCTCTTTCCATCTTTTGTTAATATAAAGATGGTTTCTTTTTTTTACTGTACTGTACAGTTACTGTACAATACTTTACCAGTACTGTATGCATTATTTTCAGCTTTGATTTATCATCTTGATCATCATCATCATCATCATCAAATCATTATTGTAGAACCACTCACTGTCTTTTATATTGTATTGTGCCTTTCTTTTATTGTTGTGATCTCGTTTATGGTTTCTGTTTAATTTTTGTAATGCAGAAGATTGTGTTCGTTAAATTTTTCAGCGAAAAAAAGAATATGTGGTTTAGAGCTAGCTATTCTACCTCTTTCTATCTCTTTTATTTCCTCTCCTGACACTGTGAAACATGTATATACATATTTAAATATATATATATATCTAGCTTCAGATCTGTTGTGTAGTAGTATGACTAGTTACATTGCTTTACAATACAAATATCTTATCAAAAAAGATCTTAGGTAGTAGTAATTAGTTGTGTCATATTGTTTGAACTATGTAAATAATTCGACAGTGAGCAATGACACACCTATCATCACACTCAACTTTGAAGTGAGATATACACGATACTGGTCTTTCTTTAATGTAAAAAAGAAGCCATCAAATGGGTTAGTTTATTTCGCACATTCATTTTATGTATCCCGGTGAATTAAATCTCTTCTACTCTTCTCCTTTAATCTTGATCATTTTGATATGATGCTATGCTATGTTATGTTATGTTATGCTTTGTTGATTTTTTTTATGTATTTTCTCCATTTGATGTGATGTCTTTTTTTCTTATTGATTATTTTTCAATCATAACTCTTATTATTCTATTTAAAATCATGAAAAAAATATCCGTATCTCGATTTGTCTTTAATATACTACTTCCAAATCACTATAAGTAGTGTGCATGAAGGGATAATGTTGTGTTGTCGGTGTTAATGATAATGGTTGGAAATTAATTAATTACTTGCTTGCTTTCTCAATGTTCTTTATTTATCTTGTTGTGCTTTTCTGCTTTTTTTTGTTTTCGTATGGTTTTTGGTCGTTATTATTATTATTATGATAGAATAAGAAAGAAAAAGTTCTTCATAACAGAGAGAATCTGTGTTTCTTCTTCATTGTGTTTTTCTGTATACAGTAATCATTTCGTTCACTGTTTGTTGTTGTTGAGTGTATTTATTTTCCCTTCATTTCCGGTCGAAATAAATGATGTGTAATTTAATTTTTATACGCATACTGTCTATCTGTCTGTAAAGAAAAAAAACGTATATATATATATATATATATATATATATATTGATCAATTTGAAAAGTAAAAATCAATTTTAAAAATCCATAGATTCGTTTTCATTAATTGTGAATAAAATGTCTCTTTAATTTTTAGTATGATGTTGATGATGATGATGATGCTGGTGGTAATTGGTTGATTTCGTTACATTTTGCCAATTGATTTTTTTCTAATTCAAATGTGCATAGACAAGAGTTTGGATGATAATTTTAAACTTCTTGAATGAAGTCGGTTTTGAAACGCTGAAATGGATAAATTGATGCTTTGATTTTTGAATTTGACATCTAAAAAAAAACTGTACAACTTAGAATTGTAAGCCTCCCATGAAAGCAATCTTTGTGATCAGAAAAAATAAGTTAAGAACGAGCACATATCAAGTTAAAACACCAATCGATAGAGTTATTAATTACTGATCCTACTTATTGACAGTATGTGCGCTGACTTTCTGGCATAGAATAATGCAATAGTGAGTGATTAGAGTTTTTGAATGAAATAACAATGACTCGATCGCAATTACACAATGGCATTATATCTCTTTGTGTAAATCTCGTGATAAATATCATTGTGAATTGAAATACTTTTAATTGCAGCTGCAAACATACCGTTTTAATGCAAGATGACAAACAGTAACACTGAAAATTTATAGCCTCAGCAGCTGATATCTCATCTTCACCTAACTTAAGTATTGGTTATTTGATGGCTTAAAAATACCCTAGTAACATTTTGAAGATATTTGTGATCAAATTCTAATAATCTATGAATATCTGTGTTATCAAAGGTCAACTGTTGTTTAGATTATTTATGTGAGAAGTTTAAACTTCTCCGATTGATCACATTGCAAAAGAATACTTCTTACAGCGTCTGAAAGGAAAGCTAGATTATTAAGGGTCTTGACAACCTGAGTTCGTGATCGTAGAGCTCATAGCACAGCCGTATAAGACATGGTTGCAAATGGATTTTTGTAAACAATCTTAAGTGCATTAGCCGTGTAGTTTTCAGAATTTATTACTGACAGTGAAAGTTCAGGAGGGAGGGGGCTGTTGTACACTTAAGTTAAACCAGTTCTAATCATCTTTTATTGTCAGAAGACAGCATCTCTAGAGATGTTTATTTTCTTTAGCAAATACCTTACTGCCGTCACATTCAGTTACAGCCAACGGTATGATCTCTCCCTCAAAACTCAGGTTGCTTTTTTTCCAACCAATCTTCCTAATATTATATCCGAACATAAAGGAACGAATTGCCCAGCCAGTATAGCTCTTTTGTCTCATCACAATATCTAAGCCCATCGATCACATCGTGATAGCAGCTATCATCAGAATTGTTAATATTCACCTGTAAACTTCATTTAGTTAGTATTACTCAACAAGAAATAACTAAATCCACTTAAGTTATCAACAATTATCACAAAATGTATACCATACAATACATTGCAACCTTAGAGGAAAGATATTTTGACTCGATATAAACCAAGTGCTTTGTAGTCATGAAGTAGATTAGTTGATAGTTGAGTTTCTTTATTATTTCTACCAAATTTACTTACGCCTGTTACCTCTAATGAAGTATAGGCCACCGACTAGTATTCTCGAACCTACTCTGTCCTCTGCCTTCTCTTCCAGTTCTACCTAATTACTGTCCATTCTTCTCATGTCTTTTTCCAATTCTTGGCCTATTGTGTTATTTGGCCTTGAGGATTCCAGTTGAGGGCTGGCCTTGTGACGTAGTTCGGCAGTTTCCTCAATGTGTTTCCTATCCACTTCCAACGCTTTTTCCTGATTTCTTCATCTGCTGTAGTCTGGTTTGTTCTCTCCCACTCTTGGTTGTTCTACCATAATCTGATCATTATCAGTTGACATTATTTTTCACATTCAGGTGACTTAAACTTCTAATCATTCAAACACAGTCTGTTATTTCAATAAAATCATCCTTTTTTTCAGTTAATGTATTTCCAATTTGATAGATAAGATTTTTTAATCTTTCAGACTAGATGACTACACTTGATGATATTGATCAAGAACCAGAGCATGGGAATGATGAATTAATTTCATCAGAAAATCAAACAGCTAAGACAAATGATGAAACAGATCAATCCATAGGTCATATGCGTGATGAAGCATTAAGACGTAAAGAACGTTTAAAACAATTACGTATGAGAAATGCATCACATAAAAGTATTATGCACTTAAACAATGGTGATGATGGTGAATTACCTAAACCGATATTTCGAAATTACAAACCACAATCAGAAGAATTAAAAGATGGTGAATTGCCTGCTGGTAAACCGGTAGATTGTAAGTCACTAGTTTATCTTGTTTTGTCTGTTGAAAACTTGGAATAAATTTAAATTAAGTTTTTAATTGGATTTATGATTGAGTAGTGTAATTTTTGTCTAGTTCTTTTGTGTTATTAATCTCAAAGGAACTTGATTCATACAATTCGACCAACGCTAAGGAACTAGACAAATGTGACATTAATCACTATTGCTTAGTGATTAGTCAATTTTAAATATCTCTGTCCTACAGGCGTTCAGTGACAGCCTAAATAGCTTGGTGGTAATGTCTCATACTACGAAGCTGGATGATTCAGGTTCTGAATTACTCAGTATTACTTTTCTCAGGTATGCCTTATTGACGAGTTCCAACCAACACGAAACCTAGATCGATCAAAAATTTCTGCCTGCAATCACTAAACGGCTGAATTAGATCTAGGCATTTCTTTTGTTGACCGGTTCCTGAGTGAAAAATCTGTGTTTGACTCTCTGTCTCTCTAAGAACAGTACATTTTCACCATTTTAATCGTAGCGGTAAGCACCCACTCGTGGATCGAAGATACATGCGTCTGTCCACGCTACCATCTGCATTCAAGTTTCATCTCTTCACTGAACAGTATTACGATCTAATATGTAAAAATCGTTTTTTTTAGTGAATATTGTGGCGATGAAAAACAACTCTTTTTTTTTAAATTGATAAATTATTTCCAAATTCATATCAACACTATGACGTAAAAGGTTGATTATTGACTTACGAATTATTTTGATTGGTTCAATGTTTCATATAAAGTACGAATATATTTATTCGCATTTTAAATCAATTCACATTTATGGTTGTATACATTTTATCGTGATTTCATCTTCTGTGTTAAACATTTACATTCACTATTAGGATTGGTATTTTGTACATGGTTTATTGAAATTTATTATTGAAATCACTAATCAACCAATGTTATAACATCATTAGAAACCTGGAAGCACTGGTTTGCCATTTTGTCCTGGTATAGGACTCATCAGCAGTGCGCATCTTGCCGCTCACAGGATTCGAACCTAGAACCTTCGGTCTTGTGCGCGAACGCCGAACTTCTGAATCATCAATTTCAGCAATAAACAACAATTTTCATAACTCACTAATAAAAAATTATTAAAATTTGTTAATTTTTATATTTTACATGATAATAATGATTAATAAATTACTTCACATATTGATAATGACGTTAGTTTAAAAATATTATCGGTTCTATTAAACAATGACAATCTTTAATTCAATGAACATTCACAATAACTGATTAATTTCCTATTCCATTAATTTTTTAAATTTCAAAGCGAATAAAATACTTTTGTAAACATTGAAATAGTTTTTTTTGCCAAAATTTATCCACTGAAGTGAGTTCTACTCACAAGGTGGGATATCAGTAGTATATAGAGTAACGTTGCACAGGAGTTGTTATCAGAGAGAGAGAGAGTGGAGTTTCTAAACATCAAAATGCATGATGCGATCAACGTGTATTGAAGACCAGAAGAGATGTGAAAGAAGACAGTTAAAAACCTACTTTTATTTCAAATGGGATGTTTGTTTGTGTAAAACTGTATCTTCTCGAAAACTACATATATTTCATTTGATATTGACTTCTTTGTACGTTACAATAGTATTTAAGATCAATATAAAGGCAATGGAACAAACAAATAAGTTTCAATTCAGTTTTCAATGATTTTGTATTATTTTGTGATTGATATTTTTTTTCACTGGAATTTGGTCAGTCTTAGTTAACACACGTGTGTATATATATATATATATATATATATATATATATATATATATCCTGTACGTATCGCCTCAATATTTGTCATGACGCATATTAATGTAGAATAGATCAAATATGGTTAGCAGTAGGATATCAGCTCTGAAATACTCGGGGTACATTCAGTGGATGAGTCTCAAAAAAAATACGATTGAAAACATGTCGTGAATTTGATTACTAGCTAGCTACATTACATCTCTTCCACATAAATCCATATCATTGTACTCTTTTGTCATTTAGAAACATTGAAACTTTTCTCATGAACACCTATTAGTACCAAATTCTTTTTTTTTTCTTTTGAAAAAAATCTTTACAGTAAACATGCATATTATTGCACAACTTGAAGCTGCAGATGCACCAGTTATTGTTGATGAAGTTGTAAGTTTTTTTTTGAATTCAATTATCAATGATTATTTAAAGATTGAACATTGAATAATAGGGTTGTGGTTGTTGTTGTTTTTCTAAAACATGGCAGAAATCCATAAAGTCATTGACAAGTGGACTGAGTCATGTCGGTAGTTGTCGACTACCTACCTGGTTGGGGTCCGCGAGATGATAATAATCGATGGTTAGATACCCTGAATGACATGGCTCAAAACTGTTTGCAATAGCACCGGTGCATTTATTCTCTGTGTTCTCTCAAATCCTAATCTTCTGGATTCCTCAACATCTCTAGTTTTGACTTTCTAAACTTATCTCACTGAATCATACTTCTTGAATAATATCTTCTAATCCTAACCTCTCGGATTACTTCTAATACCTTTACTATCTCTACTACCATTGGATTTGAATTGACAATGACATCTTTGTGCTGATGTGGTATGGCGACATGAACTGATGTACTTACGTACGAAGTTCTATGTTGCATCTGACTGACTGACTGTTTTTCTAAAATAAATGACATTGATGAGTCTATTTAGATTATTTCAAATACATTATTAAATAATTAATCTTAAAATGATCTAACTGTATTGCAGTACTAAAATCAGTTTCAGAAATAGTAAATCTACCAATGAGTCATTTTATTCTATTGAGCTACTACTACTACAGATTAATTGTAGTATTTAAATCACCATGATTTCTAATAAAAAGAAATTCTGTAGACAAATAAAAAAACTTGAAATGATCATTCATAATTGATAATATGTATTAATTACATAAAGCAGACAATAGTAGCAGTAGTAGTGGTAGTAGTAGTTAGTCGTAGTGGTAGTGACTCATTGAACATCAAAATATTTTTGAACAAGTCATCTCTGTTTGTTTGTTTGTTTCAACATATCAATTATGTCCAATAATTGTTTTTAATATCTATTCAAGGGCGTATATAAAAATTTTACTAGCTATTGCTTCACAAGGTTGAAAAAAAGTACAATTCAATACATATGTCGTTAGTTTGCAATCTACTGAGAAAAGGATGAATGTTAATAAGCTGTCGATTGTTGAATTGCTTACTTTCACATGTCAATCAATAATTGTTGTGTAACGGAAACTTGTAGGAGGAATATTCTGTTCTGAGTTGTACTAGACATATAATATTGAATAGAGCTATTATTATCAATAAAACTTTCTACTACATTAAAGTTATTCATATTCTAGTTACAAGTTCATTTTGGTTATTTCTTTTTTACTTAGCCGATCAATTATTGCCGACAGTTTTCACATAAAGATTGTAATTTTTACAGCTTTTAGAGTATAACTCCGCCTGTAGATCCTTTGGGGCTATTGCCGGTCTCAAGCCCGGATAAAGGAGGAGGGTTGGGATTGGGGTTGGCGACCCCATCCCGGAAAAAAAGTAACTTGCAAAAAAAGACGCTAATGAGGAAAAAATAATTCAAACCATGTAAACTCTGCTCTGGGAGTTAGAAGGTCTTCATTTAGAAGAGTTATGAAGTCTCATGATGAAAGCCGAGTTCCTTCGGAAGTCATGAGGCCGACGCTCATTCTGACAACCATATTTTTTTCTCTCCTATAATTCCTCTTATCGTTCAATGTAAATTCATACTCCTATTTCATTTGTATGTGTATTTTAGAATTTAACAAGTCTTGCACCTCGTAAACCTGATTGGGATTTAAAAAGAGGTGTTGAAAAGAAATTACGTAAATTAGAACGTCGAACTCAACGTGCTATTGCTGAGCTAATTCGTAAGTTGTTATTTTTCTGTTATTTTCCTACCACTCGACTATATCAGTCTATATATTCTACATGAGATTTGAAATTTAGGAGATTCTTAGCTTCATTCTCGTAGTAAGATCGTGCATTGTGGACAGATATTGAGCTAGCATCAAAAGCCTAACCACCGACTGCCGCGACGAGCTATGTTTTGTGGTGTAGGAGTAGGCTGGAAGAAAGTTAGGGGCGGCCAGACCAAAACATGGCAGAAATCCATGAAGTCACTGACAAGTGGAATGAGTCATGTTGGTAGATGTAGGCTACCTAGTTGGGGTCCGCGAGACGAAAGTCACCAATGGTTAGAGAGCTTGAACGACTTGGCTCAGAATCGTTTGCAATGACGCAGGTGCATCCACTCTTTGTGTTCTCTCTAATTCTAACCTTCTGAATTCCTCATAATATCTATCTTTCTCCTTCTAAATTTATCTCACTGAATTATACTTCTCGAATCATATCTTTGCTCCCTAATCTTCTCCATTACTGCTAATACTTCTATTATTGCTATCACTCTTGGATTTGAACTGACAGTTACGTCTCTGTGCTGATGTGGTATGGCAACCTGAACTGATGTACTTATGTACGAAGTTCTGTGTTGTATCTGTCTGTCTGTCTATCTAGCATCAAAACAACTTCCCGCATTATATTGTGCTTATCAATAAATACACTAGATAACGTTAGTTCTTAATGAAAACTAACTATAGACTGAAATACCTTCATTTAAATTACATATATTGTAATTTCTAAAAGAAATTATCAATAATTCTTATTGATTTCTTCTCATCTTCTTCTGTGCACAGGTGAACGTCTTCTTGAAACAAATGTCAATTCCACTGGAACAAAATCAATTGAATAATGAATAACCTGTTTTTCATTGTTTTATTACTACTATCATCATGTCTTGTATAAAATATACTTGTGAATAAAATGATTCATAAATAAAAGTTGTTATATTCGTTATCATGTGCAGTGTTCGAGATATGATCGCAACACGTGTTAACTGACACAGTAAGCCAATCAGAAGTGACCTATTGCGAAGGCCATTTGATGACCAGAAAATATCATTGGTCGTGAAATATCTTCCTTTTCTAAGTATATGGAATATTTATGTAGATGCGTATTTGTGCATATTGTTCGGTAGCCAAATTGACTTTTTCTTCTGCTTTTGCCTTCTCTCTCTGGAGTGGTGGGCAGTTCAAGCGGAGTAGGGATTGTAAGCGTCTCAAATTTGAACTCGATACATGCTAATTCTCCAAAATGACTGTTCAAATGAGAAGGCAAGAGCAGAACAAAATTCGATTTGGCTACCAGTTAATATGTACAAGTACTCGTCTACAAAGAAAAGCATATCTTGATCAATGATTTGTATTTATCCTTTAGAGGATATTTTCAGATGGTCATCAACTGGCCTTACTAGGTCACTCCTCATTTATTCATCATATCAATATTGCCTTGTTTGAACAATTAATGAATCTAAGAAATCGCAAAAGTTGTTGATACCATCGTGATGATAAAGTTTCTTTGACTACTCTCCCATTTATGGGTCACTTGAATTTCTACTCCTAGGTCGAACGTTTGAACCTTGTTTCACCTAGTTCGGTTCTGGGCACCTAGTCTTCATGCATGAAACAGTAAGGTTCAGATCTGAACACAGCACTTGTACTTAGTAAATGAATGTTAATGAATTTATTAGTGTAAAATTACGGTGAAATTAAAGGATAGTTTTAAAGCTGATCCATGCAGTGTGTTCTGTAAATTATCATTGAAAATTTTCTTGTTCTAGTTGTCTGCTATTTGGTGCTTCATGAACTTTATTATTTAGTAGTGCTAGTGAGTTTCAACTGTGGAATATCCATTTTAGGTTTAAAGTGTTACAACATAAACTTGTTTGTACTAAATGACTGTACTTGAAACAAACACCACTCATCCCGCCAACTTAAGTTTATATCACAGTCGAGTGTTTATTTGTCACTAAGTAGGATCATAGAGTTACTGACCGTGAAACTGTTTCCTATTAGTCTAAGTATCCCACTAAACATTATTATTTCAAATTTCTTACAACTTGAACAGTTTACGAAAATTTAATAGTATCATTATTGTTTTGTTAGGATATTCACCAAATATCCTACGAAGAATCATTTTGTTAGTGTGAATTCTACTGGTCGATTCCTATTGGTCAATATTATAGTCGCCCTAGATATCAATGCCACGTGCTCTATTCTTGTTTCTTATTGGTTGTCCTGATTGTCAATGTTACTTCAAATATTGTTTCCTGTTGGTCGTCTTAACTGTCAATGTCACAGACTTCGACGCTGTTTCCTATTCGACCTAAATGTATATATACCCATCATCTGTAACGTTTTATGACTCGGATCCTCAGTCCTGGATCCTGATTTTCATCTGGGCTCGGAGCTCGTACTTTCTGGTTCTACTTCATATCAAGTCTTCTTTCACTCAATGGGGGTTGGGACAGTCGGGTTAGAGTAGCATGTCGCGTCGCCGGATCATCGATCCTCGCTCTCGTTTTCCGACTAAGGTAAACTCGTAACACTTCAGGCATATCCAAATGACATGTTTACGTGCAAGCGTAACATGTTTGCAGAAGGAATGAATGTCAAAGATTAGCTTACGTACTGATACATTGTTGCTTAGTTGTATTCAGCTACACTGATTACTTGTTAGAAGCATATAGTTAGCAGCATCTTAAATATATTTATTCTTTATTTTATAACTAGTTGTTAGGGACGTTAGATCCCCAGAACTCATTTGGAAACGGTCCTCATCTTGTAATTTATTTCTGAAACTTGGAATTTTTATGTTTTCGCGCGAAGAGACGGTTAGTTGACCCTCAGCTTACATTTCCCACTCGGAAATCCCTGACTGTCATTGGTTTGCGGACTTCATTCAGTACGCTATTTTGTGGCTCTACCAAGGGCGTTTCTATCATGTATAAATAAGCTTAATTAGTATTTTCCGAATGTTTGTAGAAAATATTCTCTAAACCTTATCAAGACTTCTTGATCTAGTTAGCCGGAGCTCGGATAATTGGATTAGAATAGCCTATCGTGTCACTGAGTCATTGCTTCCGTTCTGTTTACTGAGTAAGGTGAACTCGTAATAGTATCAAGCATATCAATCGAAGAGCATATCACTAGTCGAATAGGGTCAATGTTTATTTTGTTTCCTCTCAACTAGTGAGCCCCAAATGAGTCGGTTGTTTGATTCATGTTCTATGATGATAAAACGTCTTGACTACAAACTCCATAGTATAAGTATATTTCAATTGATTAATACTCTAAGTTAATAAGTTGTCTATTGAAAATTCAACTAGAAGAACAATTACGTATAGAGTTAGTTTGTATGTAGTCTTTCTGTTATGTACAACATATTTTGATATGCTTTTGATTACTAAAGATATAAGTCTGATGAACAAATTCAAAATTCATGAAGTGTTATTAAATTATCAAAACAATTGAGTAATTTAAATGAGGAGGTTTTTGAAGATGGATGGATTGTGGATAATTACAAAGTCCAGAACTATCGGTTTACCCAGTTTAAGACTCGTCAGCTCAATGTGCTTGAATCCCAGTGTTGCTGTTTACACTAGGATTTACACAGTAACCTTTGTTTCAAATGCAATAATTGAAACCATTACTACTAGTAAAATTAGTTTAGATCTGGTTTTTATAGCGAATTGACCTAAGCCAAAGACAGCTGCTGAAAACTAATTTCTAATGATTTTAAAAAATAAATTAAGAACTTCCACAACCACATAATGCAAATTACATGTGATCACTAGTGATTAGCTCCGTGAGGAAGTTTCTCCAGGTTCTAGTGAGAAGTCATGACCAGTGGAGTTCAACCCTGTTCAGATGGGAAGCAGTGCTCGATGAAGACAATGGATGAGGTTGCGCAGGACCGTAGATTGATCGAAGTTAGACATTAACACCGCTAGATACTGACTCAGTGGTCCAGGGGTTCGGCGTTCACGTGCAAGACCGGAAGTCCTGGGTTTGGATTCTGTGGGTTGCAAGAGTCGTAGATGCGCACTACTAATCAGTTTACAATCAATAACTGTGGTAGAGAATCATATTTTAATTCTCACCTATTAAATCTTAACAACACTGCTGATGAGTCCCACACTACGACGAAACGTCCGTTCGGTGCTCCCAGGTTTCTAATGGTGGTTCAACATTGATCGATTAGTGATTTTAAAAAGTAAATCAACAATCTCCATAGCCCCATAATGCAGAAAACCAGAGAGCCATGAGCTACTGTTTTATCTTAGTACGAGATTCCTCAATTGTGGTTCCTCACCATCTTGTTAGGAATACAGTTCGATACCTGCATTCGGCCTATCAAGTCAACAGTATTTAGACTACTCACTTTTATACATATCCAAGTAATGTTTTGTACTAAAATGAGATAGCTATGTCGCGCTCCTTGGTTATAATTGATTGTCTAGTTCAAGTATCATAAATGCACAATAGTTTACATCAATCAAATATAAAATAATTTAAGTCTAGTTTCTTGAACTTAACGATGCCATTTTGAAAAATTTACACAATGGTACACTAAATAAATAACATGGATTTTTGGACAGTTCAGGTCGAACCATTATATCAATCTTTTTGACTAACAGATTATTTTGTTGGTAGAATTTTTTGAATTAAAGTTGAATCGTTTAATCATGAAGCATTCATTGTACTTTTGAACAAAACAAACTTCGATTAGGTCATTTATTTTCCGTCATCAGTCAGTCAGTTACAACATCGAGCATCATATATACGTATATAAGTTCAGGCTGCTTGCCATACCACATTAGCATAAAGACGCAATAGTCATCTCATATCCCATAGTGTTATAGATGGTGGAAGCATTAGCGGTAATGGAAGAAGTTATTTAAGATGTGTAATTGAGTACAATAAATTTAGAAGTAGATAGATAAAGGTGATGAGGAACTCAGAAGATTGGAATTCGAGAGAACTCAAAGAGTGGATGCACCTGCGCCGTAGCAAATGATTTTGAGCCATGTCGTTCAAGGTCTCTAACCAATGGTGAATTTCGTCTCGTGGACCCCAACCAGATAGCCTACATCTACCAACATGAATCAGTCAACTTGTTAGTGATTTCATGGATTTCTGCCATGTTTTGGCCTGGCCACCCCTAGCTTTCTTACAACCTTCTCTTACACCACAAAACATAGCTCGTTGAGGCAGTCGGTGGTTAGGCATACATAACACATGTCCCAACCATCTCAAATGATGAAGTTTCAATACTTCATCTATTGATTTGCCTTCCCTACCCCATTATGTCTATATGAGCTTTTTATTGTTTGAAGAATAGAATTCTTCTGAAAGTCACCAACTCCTACGCTCTGATCAAATAGAATTTTTACTGTTAAAACTGTATTTTCTTCTGTTGTTTCATTCGTTCCCTACCACTGATTTTTCTACCGGACTTTTTAATCCTTAACCTACTAGTAATTTACATATTTTCTCACAGAATATATCAGTCAGTTAATAAGTTCAAATAAAGTTTCGATTAACCTTTAATGAAATAATTTAATGAAGTAAACTGTACAAATACAATTTATCATGTACACAAAATATGAATTTGATAAAATATCCAGCAGACTAGACAGTTGAGAGGGTAATAATTACTATATTTCAAACAAAAAGTCACTAATGTAATTGATTACTGTCTGTTATTTATCGATACTCATCATTTTATTTCATATTATTAGTCAGTGAGTTGCAACATAGAACTTCGTACGTATGTACATAAGTTCATGTTGCCATACCACATTAGCACAGAGATGCAAATGTCAAATCAAATCCCACAGTGTTAAAAATAGTAGAGGTATTAATGGTAATGAAGAAGACTAGGGTTTGAAGATATGATTCGATAAGTATAATTCAGTGAGATAAGGTCAGAAAGACAA